CATCTACTGAAATGGAACCAGAAAAAGAAATGAAAGATACAGAGGAAATTATTAATACGAATAATGTTAACAATAATAAAAAACGTAAAGATGTAACAACAATGAGTGGAGTCAATAAACAATTCAGGTTATTAGAAGCACATGGAATTACAATGATACCAATGGATGATGATGCGTCCATTGTAGAGAATGCAATGGAAAGTGGAAGAACTGTTGTCCTTACAGGTATGCTTGCTTTTAAATAAATAGAAATATTTCATTGGAATATAAAATATTAATCATTATAATAACAATAAAATGAAATTTTTTTCTTATTCTTAGAGGCTGGTAAACTTGCCTTAAACTTAACAAGAGGTTCTCCATTAAGTATGAAACGACTTCAAGTAACTTCAAGAAGAGGAACTCCAAGAAAAGTGATAGCTATACGAGCAGATCAGATTTTAAATCAAAATACACCTAGCCTTACATCCCGTGGCCCGAACATATTAAAAAGATCTTCCGTAGATAATAAAGCTGGAAAATTATTTATTTCTTCTCTTTCAACTGCTGTGACTGTTCCAACATTAACGCAATCTCAATATACAACAGCGTCAGAGGTAAATAATTTGATATCTTATATCTATACTTATGGATTCAAATGCATATCTAAATCTATTTGTTTTACAGAACAAAATAGTCACTTCATCTTCCAAGATAACAGAACCAATCATTTTACAACTGGATGATGATATAGAAGAAGTTATAGAAGAAGATAATACAGATAATAATGAGCCAGTAATGGATATAGCAGTGCTTAATAGACAGTTAGCAGAAGCCCGAAGACAAGCCGCCGAATATCGCAAGCAATTACAAAAAAAAGAGGAGGAAGCAGAAATATACAAACAGCAACTTAAAAACATCGCATCTCAAAGAAAATCTAAATAATTTTAAATAAGTAAATTCTCTCCACATGGTTTCATCTTACAATAAGCGCAAGCATTTTTCTTTTTTTATTACAAATACTTAATCGACGAATTTTGTAGTATTGCTGAATTTTTTTTTTATATACAAATGAAGTTGCATAAACAACTGATAACTTATGCGAATCTTACTATCTACTCACATATTATCTCTTATATACATCAATTCATAATTCAATACATAAACTTATATTAATTTAATATATGCATACTTTTGTAAAGGTGCATTTAAAATAATTAATGATGAAGCTAGATTGAAGATGAAAATAATTTCTGTAAAAAAGAACTTACATACGCATATTAACATAGAAGTGCTTTCTACATAATGTCTCCTGAATGTAATAAAAAAATCCTAATCTTTTAAATATAGAAAAATATCAACTTACTATATTTTCCTATATATTTGCCTTAGTAAATAGAATACAAGATAAAATATTTATTTATTCTTTTTCTATATTATACAATAATAATCATTTATAAATAGGATTCATTAATATATTCTGCAGTATATATAGATATATGCATACAATTACATAAACAATACGAATCCATTCGACATGAATTATAAGTTTAATATGATAAATGTACACAGATGTACAGCAGGGTATTTGTAAATTTAATGTAGCCATCTATTAAAGATGTTTCTTTAAATTTTTACCATTTTACATTAAGAGTACAAAATGTAGAAAGCAAATAAGCAAATGGTTCAAGATTTTTCATGAATGTAACATAAAAGATGTGTTTATGAAATAAATTTATATTACAAAGAGACACTATCACTTTACATATTACACTAATAAAAATAGTTGCATTCCAAATATTTTCATAGCAAAATTCATATATTTGTACTAAAAGTGAATTTTGTTGTTGTGATGAAAGTATAAAAATGAAAATTTAAATATTTAAACAAAAGAATTGGTGTTAATATAAAATGGAATGGAGTGTGTTTTAACGTTTTTAAAATATCAAATATCGTTATCAAATTCTATACGAAATAGAGTATTTTACTCAGATATACGTATATTATGCAAGCAAGGAAAACATCAATAACAATAGCACGAAACATTATGGAATACAACAATGCAGATATAAAAAAATATTAAAACTTTTTCAAATAATGTATATTGTAAATATGACTTTATATACATGCATACATTAATAAAAAATGTTATTTACGGCTCGTTATTCTTACTCAATAAAAAAAAAATTATGTATTAAATCGAGAAAAAAAAGAAAGAAACAAATCAGCCAGATTTATTTCCATATAATTAAAATTTTTAAATTTAAATTCTCTTGATGGCAGCACCGTTCCATTCGTAGCTTTTAAATGTAAATGATAAACCACCCCTACTTTAAAAGTTTAAACATTAATAGAACGTTTATCGATTTTTTTGAAAAAATATCAATTGTAGAGTGAAAAACGAGAAATTCATTCGTTTACAAGATACGTAATTGTTTTCATTGTAACGTATTTCTCTCTCTCTCTCTCTGTCCCTCTCTCTCTCTCTCTCTCTCTCTCTCTCTCTCTCTCTGTCTCTCTTATCGAGTTTTCTTAATGACACATATATAGACAACTCTATGCGTAGCAGCGATCGATCGGCGTAGTAGCACAATCTCTGAGCGCTACGGGACGTCCAAGCATTCGTAAAGCCTTGTCGCTCGATACAGCAGCGCCATACTTGTCGAGCGAGTGCTTGTGTAACAAATACATAAATAATATATTTGACACTTTGCAATATTACAAAGAAGAATGACTTTTAAATATGATATCTTTAATAATATTTCAAAAAAATATTCTATTAGGAAAACAAATGAAAAACTTTTAATCTAATTCGACGGCTTTATAGTTTCATAATCGTCCGCCAATCGATCCGGAATCGTGCGCTCGCAACACCTTTCCCTCTTCCTCTACACCGAAAAAAGCCGCCCGCCACTCGACGCCTCCCCCTCCAGAACTTATATCCAACTAACAATAAGCAGACTACGTCATTGAAGCGAAGCGTCGTTATTGGAGAACCTTGAAAATTTTCTACCTAATACCACTTGCTTTTCTTCCGTGTGTAACTTTTCGCACCCACCTTTCTTTTTTTCTATTTTTCTGTCTGTCTGTCTCTCTCTCCCTCTCTCTCTCTCTCTCTCTCTCTCTCTGGCTCTCTCTCTATCTATCTATCTATTTCTCTCTTTCTATTTTCTATTTCTCTTATCCTATCCATGGAAATAACTATACATATCAATCTTTTGATCTTTCGATGACGCTTGAAGATATATATATATATAATAAAGAAATAGAGAGAAAAAGAATGAGTAGGAGAATGGGAGAGATGAGACAGGAGAAAGAGAAAAAGAAAAAGAAAATAGACAGAGGTACGCGCATAAGAGAGAAAAGGGCGTAACGCGTGTCCGTCCGTTGCAATAAGAAGGTTGTTATGTATGTATGTACGTAGAAGCAAATGGTGGGGCAAGGGGGATGCAGTGCTGCCTATCGTAAAACGCGGCAAAAACGAAAGCTAAAGATAGAAGTTGAGCACCGTTTGTACGAGGCTCTAGAAAATTCGTTGTCTCGTATGTGAGAGCTAGTAGAGATGAAAATGCGAAACATTGTCCTGAACTCGAAAGAGATATCGATCGGAGCGAAGCAATTTTTTTTACGCACCAATCGATGCGATCGATCATTAGAAATACAAAGGAAAGGACAACGGAGAGTGGGAGAGTCAAGATCGAACGCTCGATCGGATGGTTCGATCGTAAGCGTGGCGCTCGGTTCGTGTTAACCGAGTAGAAACGGACATTGCCGATTGAGAACCCCTACTCCTTCGTAACGTTTCGTAGGCCCGGAGAGCCGACGAGGAGGAGGCGGAGGTGGCGATGTCCAATGAGACTCGTTGCAAAGAAAGGGAACGCGTACATCAGCAGCGACGTCGCCGTCGTCGTCGTCGTCGTCGCGATTGCTCTCGCGGTCGCGTCTTCGTCGTCGCCGTCAAAGTCGCTTTTATAGTTATTGTTATTGTTATTGTTGATGATCGTGCCGCTGTTGTTGTCTTGCGCCGTCAAATTTCTATACGTCTTAGAAGTTGCGCGCTAACGATCGTCTTCGCGTTTCCTCTAAGGCGAGGCACGAGAGAACAGCAAACGAGGCTAGAGAGTAGTGCCAAACACAACGAGGAAAGCGATCGCTGTGTTACGTGCGCGACGTCGTTACGATCGTATGCTGCGCGCGCGTTCTTTTCTGCTGAAGAGAGACAGAAACACAGGCGGTGAGAAAGAGAGAGAGAGAGAGAAAGAGAGAGATAGAGAAAGAGAGAAAGAAAGATAGTTTGAAGCGGGTGCGAGATCCGACAGCGGATCTCAGTGTGCGTTCGTGCTTGCGTGCGTCGTGTCTTTGCGTGCGTGCGTGAGTGTACAAGGAGACTTGTGATATGTGAAAAGTGCGTGGAAGAAGGCGGAGGAGGCGTGCGAGAGCGTCTTTGGTTTTCTCGGGTCTCGAACAAAGTGCTAAAGAAGAAAAAAAAAGAATAAGGAGAAGACGTAAAAAAAAAAGAGGATATTCTGTGCGCGTGTGTCTATGTCTCTCCGGTGTTGTGCTTACCATCGTTGCTGGTGCGCGAATAACGGCGGGTAAGGTTGAAAGTAAAGAGCGACGAGGAGAGGAGAACCGTTCGTATATCGTCGTCGTCGTCATTGTTGAGTGGTGGTGTTGATCGAACGAACGAGGAAAGGAGTGGAAAAGGACGGGAAGAGACGAGAGAAGGGACGAAAAAGCGGGAAGCGAGATTCTCGGTGTGTGTATCGACGCTTCTCACTCTGTCTACCGGCGGCTCTCTCGCGAGTTGTTCTCTCTCTCTCTCTCTCTCTCTTTCTCTCTCTCTCTCTCTCTCTCATATCCCCCTCTCTTTCTTTGACTTTCTTCGAGGATTTCGCGCGAGGACGCGCGCGAGAAAAAGAGAGGGAGATAGAAGAAGAAAACGGCAAAGAACCGAAAATGCGATACGCGAGTTGTGAGGCCGCCTAGCGTAGTAGCGTATCGGCCCTAGCACGGCTACGGGCCCCTCTGTGAAGAGAGTTTTAGCGGCGGAAAAATGGCGTCCGATAACGAAGCCTCTTGCGCGAGTGACCCAAATTTCGCCGTGATCTGCTCCTTCCTCGAGTGTTTCGGCAAATCCTGTGGCATAGTCTATCCGGACATTGCGAGGTTACAAGAAATGATCGAAAACACACAGGAAGGTGAGTCAAATTTATGTGTGTGTATTCCTTCTATCTTACCACCGCGTTCGTTCGTTTCGTTTCGTCGTTCGTAGTGCGCGTACGTATATGCGCGCGCGCGCGCACTCGCGCTCGCTGCTGCTGCTGCTCCTCCTTCTCCTCCTCCTCCTCCTCTTCTTTGAGTCTATGTATATGCTTGTCACATGCGTATGTGTGCTGTATAATACGCGCGCTCGCGCATGGTTCATGTAAGAGAACGAATGAACAAGAGAGAGAGAGAGAGAGAGAGAGAGAGAGAGGGAGTGAGGAAGGATTGGAGAGGGAGAGAGCGAGACAAAACGAATCGTCTCTACGAGTGGGATGAAAAAGAGGGAAGGGGCAGGGAATAACCGACCCGCCCCCGCCAGACGAAAAGTCTCGCGCGAACTCCATAAGTTTTGTTTTCCTTTTTCATAATTCTCTTTCTTGCTGTCGATGTTAGTAACACGACAAAATTCTTTTTAAAGACGTAGATGGATGTTAGTTCGAAAATTGCCTCTTATGTATTTGACTGCCCACTTCTACTACATTCGTATACGTTTGTATGTATATCTGCGCGCGTATATATGTATGTATATATGTATGTATGTATATGTATGTATGTACGAATGTATGTGCGTGCGCAATACGCGCGACCTCCCTCTGTTTTCATCCCTCTCCACTGTAACTACAAGGTCTGTGGCTAATCCGTACTATATCGTGAATCTACGACTATTTTCTTCGTTTCTTCATCTCTTTCCCCCTCCCCTCTCTCTCTTTCTCTCATTCCATTTGTAATGTTGGGTGGATCTCTCTGAGGAAAGCGCGCAATTCGTTTTCTTCGTATTCTTTTTTTACTCGGAATCAACGATCTCCTCTCTCTTTTGTATGGGTGGTGCAAGACTACCGATTTGACAGATAAACCCTCGGGATCGTTCCGTCGTGTGTTGTTGTTTTGCCCCGTGCTGCCACCTCCCTTCCTTCTTGTCAATCGCAGTTACACGTGATTACGAATTACGAACACATTTCGGCCTGTTCACACAGGCATATATTTTGACGTTTTGATTCTAGATAAATTTCTCAATATTTTGCTCTTTTTTTTTTTGCCTTCTTTATCTTCTTTTTCATATTGTATTTAATAGTTCGTTTTAAGAAAGACATTTTTACAAACGCAATTTTGCGTATTTATTAAATATCACTATTTCTTTTCTAAGGAAGTAATAGTTTAGAATATAAACTTAATTTATTTCTTTTATATAAAAAAGTTTTTTTTATTTTTGTTACATTTTTGATTTTATTGTGCTTAATTTTCAGGACTTTCTTTTAATTTTTCTTTATATGCATCATATTATTGTTAAAATTATACTGGTTTATCATACCAATATTATCTTTCTTTCAGTACCTCAACAATTAGTAGATTTACACATCAAATTACTAAGAAAAACACGTAAGACAGTATCCCCTGAGAAATGGGAGCGAGCATTGGTCAAATTTTGTCATACGTATTCGAATCAGGATGGGTGGGAACTCGAACGTTTTGGTTACAAGAAAGCTCGTATTGCTGTTAAATTACGTCTACTTAAGGTACATTGATATTTTCTTTTTATATCATTGCTGTTATTTGTAATGTTGTATATGAATAGTTCTGTTAATGTTATAATCATTACCGTAGGTACTCTTGGAAACACAGTTCGATTTGAATCAAAAGTTTAAAAATGAAGTAAATAAGCTCGCAGCTGATGAGTTACGTGTGGAACCATTAGGGAGGGACAAAACTGGATTAGCCTATTGGTGTCAGCTCGATGAAGAGTGTAATATTAGAGTATACAGGGAGGATTTAGATGAGGAAAATTGGGAACTAGTAGCTAAGTAAGTTTTGTTTATATTTGTTAATATTTTGATCTAATATTATTGTACATTAATATAAATACTTTCCAATATTAGAGATCGGGATGGCGTTGTTAATCTAATAAACACTCTGTCAAATGGTGAAGCTGAATCGATACCAATTAATGAAGATAGTAATAGCTTAGAAATTTCTGAGAAACCTATAATAGACACTGGCCAAATAACTACATCACCCAGTTTGGAAGGAGATGAAGTTATACAAGAAAATGGCACTCATAATGATAATTTAGAAGAAAAAGATGAACAAAAAGATGATCTTGGAAATGTTGAAGATAATCGAGAACAAAATGATATTATCGCTGGTCAAGATAATGCTGAAGTTGAGAATGAAGAGGAAGAAATAGATGAGGAGGAGGAAGAGGAAGAAGAGGAAGAGGAAGAAGAAGAAGAGGAGGAGGAGGAAGAAGAGGATGAAGATGATGATGAAGAAGAAGATGAAGAAGATGAAGATGTAACCAATGATGAAAGTTCCAAACAAAATACTGAGGAAGATGATTCTTTAGAGGTAGCACAAGATCAAGTTACAAAATCAAATGTACAATCTGTAAGTCCTGCAAAAGTGATTAATGGAAATGCTCATATACTAACGGAGAAAATCCATGAAAAGAAAACCTTAGAACAAACCATTGTATCATCTCATGCACCTGATTCTAAGCCTTTAGAATCTGTCAAATCTGAAAATTTAACGAAATCGAATATCAATAAAATTACCAATGAAGAATTAGTACCTTTGAAATCAATAGAAACACCTGTGATCACTTCTCCTCTTAAACTTGTAAATATTGCAGATTTGAAACAGGTGCAGGAAGAAAAGAACGCAAATCATATATTGCCTATTAGTACCCCAATACATGTATCTAAAAAGCATAATACTATGGAGGAAACAACAGAATCTGTAATGAAATCTTTAGAAAAATTATCTGGTAAAAATAGCATTTCTTTTACATCTACAGATATTACATCTGGACACAGTAAATTGTCCGTTAAACCAATAGATCAATTAGCTGCAAATCTTGTAAGAATGCAAGCTGAAAAACTTGAAAAGCCAAGTGGTACAAAGTCATTGGAAAAAATAGCAGAGAATCTAGCAAGATCTGGGGGTATGCTTAATTCTACAATCAATGGAGATGATGACAGATTACCACAAGATTTTTGTCCAAGAAGTCAACCTGAGAAACCTTCTATACTTCGAGGACATAGAGGTATGGACTTATCTACATCACCTCGTGGTTGGGAAAGTATGAATGAACAAAGTAGTCCTATGGATTTTTCGGGAATTGATCTTTCTAGTCGAAAATTCACCAAAAGTATGGATTTATCTACACCTGGATACAGATCTCAAAATTTTCAACACAGAGAAATGGATTTGAGTACCAAAAAATCAAGCAAACCGGATGTGCAAAATCTATCCTATGATGCTAGAGCAGTAATGATGCGTAATCATGCTATGGTAGCAGATTTAAGTAAACGACAAATGCCGTTTACAGCTTATGAAATGTCTGCTGCTGCATATCACACCTCTGCTAGATTACCTCCTAAAGAAGAGCATAGATTACCAAGCTATGCATTACTGCCAGATCCGAGTAAAATAACAGCTTTACGAATGGGTCCAACTTCTATAAAAAGGCCATTAGAGGGGGATGATGCGCAGTCTGATATTTTAAAAAGAATAAGGGCAGATGTAATACCTATTAGAGGATCCATTGATAAAAGAACAATGCTCAATAGCAGTTGGAGAGAAGAAACAAGTGAAGCAATTGAAGAACCACTAATGATGGTTCAAGGTGAAGGATCTGGTAGTGATTGTGATGCTGTCAATCCTGGGATTGGTGAACCTGTAGAAGAACCCGTTATGTTTTTCTATGGCGAAGGTTCTGGAGTTGAATGTGAAACAGGTAATCCTGGTGATGACACGTCAACTGATAATAAAGAAAGCAACCAATCAAAAAGTGAAGCTGACTCGGCGACTGCTACTTTATCTTCAAGTGAAATCTTAAATGAAGAAAATCTTATAAAGGAAGTTTCAACTGCTTCTATGGAGACAAGTAAAAACTCTGTAAGATTAAATAGGAATTATTCCCAATCTACTGTTGATATTAATGACAGTCAAATAGTAGGCTCTACACAAGAAAAGCCAAAATTTAAACCAACTCTGGGCGTTCAAATAATTCCGAAAAGTACAAGTGGTTCTGTTAAACGATTATCGAGGTGGGATGTAGGTAAACCTGCAGAAAAAACAGAGTGTGACAGTAGTATCATATCAAATGAAGAAGACATATCACAGAAGGAACAGTATTTTCCCAAAGAAGGCACTAGCGATCAGAAATGTAGCAATAAAGATGAAAACACTTTACAGACAAGTGAAGATTTATCTTTGTCAAAAGTTGGTTTTGAATGCCTTTCTAGCACAGATAATTTAAATGAGAAAATGAATGCAAATTCTTTCAATGAAGTTAGTACGCTAGATCAAAATAGTATAGAATCTAACATTACTGATACAGATACAATTGATAGTAATTCAAAAAAATCTAAAGAGAATTCTAAGTTATTGGAAACCATACAATGTGATTCCTCTATATCTTCATGTCAGGCAGATACTTCAGAAGGTTTTGAGTCTAGTACAAATACTATGCTTGTACCCTATTCATTAAGTGGTGAAAAAGTCTCTACAAATGTGTCAGATTCAACTAACATAGTTACACAAAATTCCGAATTTTTACATAAGATAGATAACGAGTGTAAACCAAAATCTGCATCACCACCAAGATTTTTTTTTGGACCAAATTGCATTTCATATACTTCAAAGTCTGTAGATTTGGAAACTCAATCGGATCAAATTGTCACAACATCAATTCAATGTAAATCTGACACGTTACAATATGAATGTGTTTCATCTTCCAAACCTTCGGAAGATACACTTTTATCATATAAATCAGAAGAATTTGATGTTACTCAAACAAATAATAATTCATTAAAAGCAAGTTCGTTTGATTCTCATAATATATATTGTACAAATGATAAAAGAGAAAAACTGGAGGGTTCAAGTCATACATGGAACTCAAATGAAGAAAATGTCAACAATGCCATTGATGTACCAAGAACAACTACTCAAATAGATGAAGATTTACAATCGAACACTGTACAAGAATCTGCTTATGCTAATAACAAAGAATCAGAAGAAAGTATTGTAAAAGTTGAAAAATCTGAGGATACAGACGTTATTTCACAGTCTTTTATTACTAATAATATAAATGTTACATTAAATACAGCAGAATCATTAACAGATAGTTCTGATCTTCAGCATAAAAAGAAAATTGTAAATGATAATGATATAAAAATTAAGCATATGGCACAACACAGTGAAAACACTATAACTGATCAATTGAGATTTATAGATGATAGATCTTATCAATCAACAAATGCTGAAAAGGATGTCAATCTTAATATATCAGACAACATACAAGAACACGTAGAACCACTCAGTACTTACTCTGAGAATGAAGCTGAACATAAATCTTCCAAAGAAGAAATGTCTCATCAGGTTATGGAAAAAACAGAATCTGAACCATTAACAGATATAACAACTGAGCATACAATGTGTATGTCACCATCTAATAAAGATCAGAATCAAGATGTACAAATGGAATCTAAAAATGTACAGGAATGTGCATGTGAGGATAAAACTAATAATATAGAATCTACGGATTTAATTTCATCTCCAAATTTCCAAGAAGTACACAGTTCTGCTGGAATACAAGAAATAGATCATGTTTCTGATGAATTTCAAGCTCTTAAAAAAGACGAGGTAGATTTAGGTAGAGAAAGTTACGATAAACACAGTGATAAAAACGATAATTTATCTGAATTTGATACACAAGAGGAGCAATCAATGGATACTGATACTGAAAAAATGAAAGGACAATTTAGTTCGGATGCTGATTCAATGTCAGTCAATTATGATAAAAATAGTGAAAGAAATGATACATTGTCAGATTTAGGAGTACAAGATGAAGGTTCAGGAGATTCAGAAGAAATTAAAGAGAAACACTTAACCAATTCTTTTGTCAAAACTAATGCTTCTGAAGATATTCCTGAATCTGACCTTGTTGATAATGCAACTGTTAGCAGTTCTGCATGTATGCAAGAATATAATAAAGAATCATTCGCTTCTGTTATAAGTAGTTCGAACGATGCATCCGTTCAAAATATATTTTTGCAAGACAATACCAACATACCAATAGTATCCCAACAAATTGATAATCCATTTTCAGCTAAAACAAGTAATAGTGCATTTAATGTATTAGCACCGATAGTATCTAATATTTCTATTATGAAATCTGCAGAAACAAGTAATATACCATCTTTAAAAGAAAATTATTCATCTAGTATTGATCAAAATGTGAATGAATATGCTGATGATGTATCAGAAAATCCAAGTTCTTGTATTGATCAAGATTCAAATGAAGATATGATAATTGATGACAGAATGTCAGAATCTAATGAATCCTCAAAGGAAGTGGAGGAAACTTCATCGAATGGTGAAAAATTAGTAACACCACCTGATCGTGAAAAATCAACAGTTTACAATGAAAATTTGTTGAATGATCAAAATACAAGAAAGGAAGATAATTTTTCTATGCAAAAGGATTTACCTCCTATCACAGAAAATCAGACAAGTGCACTAAATATTTCTACAGCAAATAATAAGGAAAGTAATTCCCCTATTATTGTAGAAATTGTTGAACAAAAAGATTCAAATAGTAAAACAAATGATAAAGAAAGTGATAATGTACAAATAACTGAAACATATACAGAGAAATCTGAAACGGCCATAAGTAATAGTAGTTATGAAAATACAGATGTAAAATTAAAAGAAGATATGGATAATACTGAAAAACAAAATGTTGTACAAAATGCAATAAATTTAATCTCAAAGGAATCTGAACAAAATTCAGTTAATAAACAATCTTTAGTGGCAAATTATGATAGTAATGATTCTAATGATGATGGTAGTGATGATGTTTTTGAAGCAGACACATTAGAAGAATATGCATCTACAGATATTCCTAACTGTTCTGTAGAAGAACATCCAGTAAATGATAACAAAATTACAAAAAGCACAAACATTGAACAGGAATGTATAAATGAAAAAAGTTATACATTATTTGACGAGCCACAACAATTTGTACAGAATAAAGAAGAGTTAGAATCAAATTTACAAGTTGAAACTGATAAGGTTTCTACTAAAAATGAAGTAGAAAATAAGAAGGAAACGTGTAATGCTAATACAGAAAAAGTAAATGATATTTTCAACAAAAGAAATACTGAAGTAAGTAGTGATGATATTAAATGCAGTGACATAAGTAAAAATGAACAAGTAATCAGTACATTGAGTAAAGATGAATATGGGGAGGATATAGAATTACATAATATATCTTCTCTTGATAGTTCTAGCAAACTAAATAATACTACATCAACAATACTGTCATCATCATCAGATCATTCTCACTTACAAACATTTGTAAATGAAAAAACTCAAGTAGATGTTCAAATTACTTCTAATCAAATTGTCAAAGAATATGTGAACAATACTCAGAACAATAAAAGCATTTTAGATGAAACCACGATAATAAAATTACAAAATGAAAATAAGGCTTCTACTCAGTCAGTGAAAGATATAGATAACTTTGTGTTTGAAAAGTTAGATAGTAATAAAAATACAGACAATACAGAACATACTGCTAATTTAATACAAGTTCAAAAAAATATTGGATCAGGTGACATAGATGATCAATCAACAAATATATTGGATCATTCTGTAAGTGTTACGGATCAACAAGTTATTGAAAAAATAAACGATAAAGATAAAATTGCTAAAAGCAAAGAAATGATACTGCAGGTTGCAGAAGTATTACCAAAATCGCAACAGTATCAGGGATTAAAAACTGATTATCTAGAAAATGAAAATGAACAAAATAAGTTTGAAACAAAAGAGCATAACTACATTGATAATTCTGTAAATGAAACTACTACAGCTGAAATAATTAATCAGTCTGTATCAAATACTTCTACAATTAAATTAGACAATGATATACAACAAGCATCACAAAGTTATGAAACTCATTCATTAATAGTAGAATTGAAAGACAGTAATCTTTCTGATAATATGAATCATACAAATTCCATTGCTAATAAGCCAACTGTCTCTTATGATATAAGCGATGATAAAAGTAAACAGACTGATTTTATTAATATTTCCAATACAAATAAGGATAATATTTATACCAAACCTGTACTCAATATACAAAATACTATAGCAACTTGCACTGGACAGGAAGAAATATTTGAAAAAAAAGAAGTATTAGGAATTATAAGAAATGATTTTAAGAAAGAAGGTAATAAAAGAGCAAGTGATAACTCAGAAGTTGAAGACGTTCCACCGTTAAAATCTAAACCGCCTTATATAAAACCTTTTGTAGAAACTTTATCTACTGACATAAAGTATAATTCGCAATTGGAAACAAAAATGGAAACTGTAATTGAAAAGAAAGAATTGAAACTTGAAGGCAACATACTTAACAAAGTAAATGATTCCTTAACAATACCATCTATTGCAGATACATACAATGTAGTTATGAGTAATATTGAAGCTGGAGACAATTTTAAAAATGATGTTTTACCAAAAGATAATTTAGATTTGAAGAATAAAAAGGATCTTTCAGAAATTCAAAATGTTGAGGTAAAAACAGTTACAGCATCATCAGATGATTCTATAGGAGCTGATCATGAAAATGTGTTTGATGCACCATCAGAAGAGCCTGATCCACTAGCATGTACTGAAGATGATGCATTAAAAGGTTTAAATATAAACATTGGTGAAGACGGTGCTAATGCAAAAATAGGTATTCGTGTTAAATCGGTTTCTGAACTCGTATACGAAGGTTGGAAATTGGATGGTACAGAAACTACAAAAGTTTCACGAAAACGACGTAATAGCGCACAAGATTCGAATTCCGAAGATTTAGGAGAAAAACAAGAAGAAGAAGAAGAAATGATGGGTGGTAAAAGAATAAAATTACGTGCAAAACGTATACCAGATAAACAATTGCGCAAATCAGTCGAAGAGAGTCGCGTTGTAACTATAAGTTCAGAGGATGAGGCTGTGAAATGTAAAGTAGCAGAAGATAATAAAGATGGTAGTGATGATCCTACAATTATGCGTTCTGTTCCAATGGGACGTAAAAATAGGGGACGCCCAAAAGGCAGGAGACGACGTTGCAGAGGCGGTGGACGTTCACGTCCAAAACATTCAGGAGGAGTCAGTATAAACCAAACCTCAGAAGAATCTCCTAACGTGCATCTTGAGGGAACACCTACCAATGCTTCTTCATTAGAGACAACACCATCTTCATCTCAAAAAAAGAGAAAGAAAAGTAAGTTCAAAAACATTTGCAATTTAAAATTATCGTCTAAATTATATTAATGTTTAATATGTATTATACATATTAATTAATAATATTTATATGAAAAATTACTATCCCAAAATGTGATCATAAGCATTTAAATATAAAGCTAATTAAATTAAATAATTAATAAAAATAAATATTTATAGAATTACTTTTTATTTACAGGAAAAATGGTTTTGGGTTTAGAAATAGGAAGAGATATTGCACCTGAACAACAAGAAGGTGTACTACAAGGTGAAACACCTGTTAGGCAATCAAGAAGAATTGCCCAATTGAAGATTAAAGAAGCAGCAGATAGAAGGAGAATTGAAGAAGAAGCATTAACTGAAGTAAAAGAGAAAAAGGAAACTACGGATAAGAAAAAACGAAGAAAAAAAGTATATGTTTAATAATTAAATAAATATAAATAGCGTGGAAAAGCGTTTATTTAATTAATTAATTTTTCTTTTTTTTTTTTTTTGTGTAATTATTGTGTATTATATGTATTTTACAGAACGAAAGTGAAGAAGAAGTTACAATGAAGGAAATTGATAAAGATATAAAATCTAAACGAAAACGAAAAAAGCGAAAAAAGAAGAAAATGCTTGCAAAATTTAATGAAGCCAATCCATGGCAAAGTTCGTCTGGTTCCAGTAGTGATGATCTTGATAATGAAGATGAGGATGAAGAAGAAGAAATAGAAACTGAAGGATCTTTACTTTTTAAAAGTGATCATGAATTTTCTCCCGAAAGTGATCTTGAGAAGGATCAAGAATCTGAGCCATTAAGAAGAGCTAGAACTGCTCAAAAAGGTAATAAATGCAATGTGAATTTTAGTAGATAAGATAAGATAGAATCTAAAAACAATTTTGCTACAACATCGAAATTAAATGATCTCAAATATAAATTATGTAAATTCTCACATTTTCATAGGTCAAAGTGATGTTGAAGAAGCAGATGATGAATATGCTTGTCAAAAATGTGGCAAGGCTGATCATCCCGAATGGATTCTCTTATGTGATTCTTGTGATAAAGGATGGCATTGTTCTTGTTTGAGGCCTGCACTCATGCTGATACCAGAAGGTGATTGGTTCTGTCCACCGTGTCAACATGTAAGTTATTCACCCTGAAAGATTTAAATAAAAATTATTAAGCAAATTTGTATGTACAAAACAGTATTAATTTTACCATATTATTTAACAGAATATATTGGTATCTAAATTACGTGAAAGTTTAAAAACATACGATCAAGTGACGAAACGTCATGAAAACGAAGTATTAAGAAAAAAGAGGCTGGCCTTTGTTGGTATAAGCTTAGATAATGTATTACATAAAAATGAGACGCAACGCCTTCAAAAGGATATAAAAGAGTCAAGCCAAGAATCTGAAAATGGTGAATTTAATAAAATATTTGTTATATATTAAATATTTATATTACATTATAATAATTTTATTTCTATTCTGTTTAAAGATTCTTCATCTGAACAATCATCATCGGCTTCAAGTTCGGAAACATCAAGCAGCGAAGAAAGTGAACCTGTGTATCAATTACGAGAAAGACGATGTGCAAATACTTATAAGTTCAATGAATACGATGATATGATCAATGCTGCGATTCAAGATGAAGTAGAAGCTGTTCAAGGTGCTGGTAATCAAGGAAGAGGTAAAGACATTGCAACGATAGTTAATGCAGAAAAGGAGGAAGCACAGGTTTGTATTTCAAAGCACAAAAATATTTAATGTAACGTATAAGATGTAAATTATATCTTTTAACTCTGGACTTTTCTATAAAAAGCTTCATCAACAAGTTGAAGGACTGCAGATGAAGGGCGTAGATGAAGATAAAAACGATTTAGAACAAAAATCTGAAAGAGAGAGCGACGAGGAATATAAGGTAGAGAAGGAAGAAGTCGATGAAGATGAAGAGGAACGGAAAAGAGTTACTAAACGTTTATTAGCACGAAGAAAACATCGTAAATTGAATAGCTTGGATATAAGTAGTGAGGATGATCCAGAAAGCGACGAAGATTTCAAAGGAACTAGTTCGGATGACGAAGAAGATTTTGATGATCATATGACGTCATCAGATGAAAGTAGTTTCACCGATTCTAGGCGTCGTAGAAAGGGAGATTCGCGTCCAGTTAGAAGGTCTACTAGAGCCAGAATAACGACTACTTATGATCCAGATTTCAGTAAGTTTAGAATAGTAAATATGTAGTATAATGTACTAACCCTTCGAAATTTTCTTTCCAAGGGGATAAGAAGTAGATGTTTTTCCCGGCGCATTCATGTTTGCGTTAATATTTTGCGACTTCTGATTATATATAATCATGCATACGATTCGTATGACTTTTTTTTTTATAGTTAATGACGATAGTGAAGAGAGCGATCGCCCAAAAAGGAAAAAGTCTCGATCCATGTGGGAAAATTCGGATAGCGAAGATAGTGATAATTCTTGGAGACAAAGAAAGAAAAAGTAAATTTTTTCAATGTAAAATAATATACACAATATTATATTAAATATATATAATATTACATTAAATTCGTGTAATGTTTATAGGAGTAGAACTATACCAACTTCAAGATATAGGACAACTTCAAAAGTGAAAAGTAAAAAGAAGAAAAGGAGGAAACGTATAATAGAGTCAGATAACCAAAGTGATAACGAGGAGGAAGATGAGCCAAGAAGCAATGATCAGGATGCATCTGAAAATATGAATGCCGTTATTCAGGAAGGTGAAGAAGCGACACCTACTAAAAATGAAAACGAAGAGAATATTGTTAATCTTGAAAATATTGAAAATACTGAAAATACGCACAATACTGATGAAATGAAAACAGAGATAATGGAGAACGCCGTGGCAAATACAGATTCATTGGTTCCTCCGCAACTTGATGAAATTGCAGCCCAAAAAAGGAAAAAAGTAAATCAAATAATTTATAAAATAAATTTATTCTAATTATATATATTTATATATATACTATGATATAATATAAAATACTCATCTATTTATTAGTATTTAATATCTACTTTAATACACTATACCATAATATACTATAGTATAGCATATAATAAATTATTATGATAATAATATAAATACTTTATAGGAAAGTACACCCAAACAGAAGAAGGCTCCATCTATTAGACGAAAGGTGATTTTACTTGTATATTACTTTCAAAGGTTGTCCTTTTTTTATTTGGCTTATTTTTGTTTTTCTTATTTATAGATTATATATGGTGGTTTACCAGATGATAATTATAAACAAGAGGAAGAAGAAATATTAGATAGACGTAGTCGTAGACGAGGCCGTAAAATCAATTATCAGGAAGCAACAGCAACGGATAGCGAAGAGGTATTCATTTTTGATATGTTATGAAATTTTTTCATATTTATAATGAATTGTATTTGACCATTGAGCTTTGGAACATTTTAGATCGAAAATGAGTCAATGAATAATTATGAACTCTTATATAAATAATTTCGTGTTTTCCCTTCCTACAGGAATTAAAAAAAGCTATAAGAAAAACTGTGGAAAGTGAAGACGAATTTGTTGTTAACGAAACAGATGACATAAATGAAGATGCTGAAAAAGATTCTGATTCAGGTAGATTTTTTATTTACTTTTTTTATGATATTATTCAAATCAATATTATAGTAATATAACATACATTTGTACAATAGATATTTATACTCCTAAAAAAGAAGCAACCAAATTCAAAAATAAATCGCCAAAAAGTAAAAAGCCGAGAAAAAGTAAAAGTCCTGCGGCAAAGCGCAAAACTATGGTTGATGGAGTTCCGAAACCGAGAAAGAAGCCTGGACCGAAACCTGGAAGCAAAAATAAAGCTCGAAAACAGAAACTATTGATGGGTTCGGTAATAAGATCGACAGATGGTCAGCATCTAGATGATAAAGACGTTCTATCTCATACAATGGATAATCCAATGGGAGAATTAACGTCGAAAATCGACGAAGGTCTTCCGGATAATGTCGGATTGACAGGTACAACGATGTCAGTAGCTAGTTCTTTTACTGGAGACGTGCCAGAAGGTTCATTGGGTGGTCTTGGGCCTGGAGAATTGGCAGATCTAGATGATGAACAATTGGAACAAATAATGATGGAAGATGAAGAATATGGTAGACGACAATTGGAGTTGGCGGCTATCGAGATAGCGAAAAAAAAGAAGAAGGAAGAGCGAGAAGCAAAAAAATTAGAAAAGGCACGGTTAAAAGCGTTAGAAATTCTAGCTGCTGAAAGGCAGAGAGATCCGAACGCTCCCGAAGGAACCGATGGTGAAGTACCTAAGAAAAAGAAACGGGGTCGTCGTAGCAAAGCCGAAATAATTGCCGAGCAGATGAGAAGAGGCGGGGCTCCGGCTTTGGGTTCTCCTGGATTAGCAAACACGAGTCCAGGTGTTATGGCAGCCAATAGCAGTAACATGATTGGATTGGATGTAACGAGTAACGTATCACCTAATATAAATCCTAACTTACCCACAGTCATCACGCCTGAGGCCGACAGGACACCAGAAGGGCATATTCCAATGATGACAGGACCAGACGGGCAGCTCTTCAATCCCGACGGAACGCCGATGAAGCCAAAGAGGAGAGGTCGTGGCAAGGGTAAGAAAACTCTTGCTCTCGAAGCTGCCAGGGCCGCGGAAGCAGCAGCAAAAGCCGCGGCTGAAGCTGGTTTGCTCGGCATGGGCACGGATTCGAATCCAGAAGTTAAATCGAGCGATATCCCAAACGTACTTCCCACTCCAGGTAGCAGTACTTCCGGCTCGGCACCGTCCACACCACCAGCGAGCGGCGTACCTACGCAGTTGCCACCTTCGACGCAAGCGAACGCGCAGTCTGTCTATTCGTCTCTTCCGCCCGGTCAACAGTCTTCCGTGATCACGAGGATGCTCCAGTCACAACCGGTGTCGTCAAATAATCCGCAGTCGTTCACAGCAGCGGCTGCTGCGATGGGTCATAAATATTTCGGTGCTCCCAATACAACTGGACAGATGATGACAGGTCCACGAACCGGTTATGAGATGCAGCCACGCGGTAGGATACCTTCGCCATACAGACAGCCAGGACAATCTTCCATGCCACCTCATTTTGCGGCCGTAAGATCTGGCACACCTCCAATGAGAATGAGAGTTCCAGGGCCGCAAATGTATCATACGCCTCACCATCCTATGGATCCCTCTCCGTCGGGTGGTGGTCCTATATCCATAAGTAGTCGAGACCGAAGTTCTCCTTTGGCACCGGGTCCTCCACCCATGATACCACCTGCGGCCGGTAGTCCATTAGCTAAAGGTGGACCAACGCCACCTCCGCCTCCACCTCCTTACGTAAGAGGCGGTCCACCGATCTCCAGGTTTACCGATAATCCTATGGGACCGAGGCATCAAATGCCACCATTTACGAACGCCTCACCGGTTAACCATGCGATGCAACAACCTTCTCCACCTCCAAATAGACCACCAGGAAATTTCTCGCCGTATCATCCACCTCCGCCACCCAATTATCACTACGGTGCCTACCCTCCTCCCCCGCCTATGTCTACAGCGGATGATGCAGCTGCTTATCAAGGCTCGCCCTATCCTACGGAACATTTTTCGTCTCCCGCGGACAATCAGCCGCAGATTCAAGCGCCTCCGCAACCACAACCTCCGCAATCTCAACCACCCCAGCAACAACAGCAACCACAAACGCACCCTAATGACCCGGCTGCTGTAGCAAATAAACAATACGATGAGGAGGGTACTGGGGAGTTTGGCGGTTTGGTATCTTATTTCAGTAGCCAGAGGGAGGACGATTTGGATTCGTAGCATGAGTGAAATCTTGGCCAACCCTAAAGCGTTTTTTTAGTATGAATCCTTTGTACATAATGTACATTTGGATTCTCCTTCTTAAAGTGATCGCGACTCTTGCTTAGGAAGAAGAGTCTCGAGAGAGACACTGGTTTCTGGTATCCTATTGATATATTTTAGCCCGTAGACACCATCGTACTAATCAACCCTTATCTTACGCTCCTTGTTCCTGAAACTTCGAAGAAATGACAGACACAGCTTGAATTTTTTATTTGTTTTTGCCTTCGGTTATTTGCTAAACGAAGCAGATTTATCTGTTTAATCGATATGATACTTTTCTCTAATATATTTTATTTTAGCGTATTCACTCGAAATATAATAATATCGTGTGATATAAAAATATTGATATATAGCGACAAGATCAAAAATTGCAATAATGATCAAAACAAGGAATATACAATACGCGGAAGATTTCGGAATTATTTTGATTAAAATATATCATTATAAATCTGCTTCATTTGGCAAGTAAAAATGAAACTTCTGTGTCTGTTTATGATAGACGTTCGAAAGGAAATAATTTCAACTATTTTCATTTGAACGTCATCTGATTCGTCGTACGAATTGTATCAAGATAAGGGTCGATCGTATGATGAAATTCGTATTATATGATTCTTAAACTTGTAGTTACGGGTTAAACGTAGTTGTATCATATTTGATACATCAAGATGCTCGAAAATGAATTGATGGAAGTATTTACATAATGTAACGATATAATACTGTCTAGTGTTGTTTTATACGCGTACGTTAACGTCTAAAGTATATAAGGATATGTAATATAAAAGTTAGGATCGTCTTCCTCTTGGGCCTCTTCGGCAAGTAGTCACTCCAGAAAAAAAAAAGAAAAGAAAATAACAAAAATCTTTGGATTTTGGATCTGAAATATAAAAGAAGCCGTAGAAACAAAATCGAGGTTGGCCAAGTGTAAAATTTGAGAAGTCCAAATCGTCAACAATGGAGCCTATTTTTTAAGGATTGTAAGCTTTTTGTAATTAGTTTCAGTTCGATTGAATTAATATAAAAGGCAAGCGACCATACTTTTGTTCAACGTTGAATGTGTAATAAAGATTCGAGAAGAAGACGAATCTGATTAGAATTTTAACCTTTTTCCGTTCGTTTTCGAACCCATTTCTTCTAATCAGGCGCGTCTTCTTTCGATGAACGCATTCCTCGTTGAACGAACGTCGATCTTATTAAGGACAAGAAGAAGAAAAAAAACAAAGTTATTGACAAATTCGCGCCGTTGTTACGTGTACATATGTAAATACCGTAAGTTCTTTAGATTATATATTACGTGTATCATATTACATAGTCAAACAAAATACTATAAAGTGAATTAGTGCAAAGGGCACAAATTGTAATATTTAAATTAATTAGAAAAGAAAAGGAATGACATCTGATTACTATAAATTAACAAATGGTGTGAAGACTATTACTATAATTATTTATAAAGAAAGATTAAGGATTTATGATAGGGTTTAGTATATTGTATTTTACAAATTTTACTTGATAATTATATGATTAAATCATTAAATATAGTTATATATTAGAGAACAGGAGGCTGCTGAACGCGCTCTACGAAAAGTGAGAAAACTATGATTATAAAGCGATATTCATATAACACACACACACATATACTAGCGATATTAATATAATCGGCAAAGTTAAGAGAAGGGATATGTGGCGTAACAGAAATTTTATTATAATCTTGCGTGCAATGAACTACATGGTAATATGTACGTATATGTATAATTCAAGAAAATTTAAGCACGTGCAACCATAATGGGACTCTTTTTGTTCCTTAAAAAAAAATTAATCGAGCATGAATTATTAAGAATATTCGTTATTATTATATAAAATGGATATGTAGAGGATAATAAAAGATAATTACGGATGAGAGAGAGAGAGAAAGAATATCGAAATATATTCGTGAATGAATGTAAAAGATTGCTATTGTTTCAACGAGTGAAACAAAGGAAAGCGATCGTTTAGGTGTTCTTCTTGTAAATCGTAAATCAAGTCAGATAGAATCTGCCATAATTAATATTCTCTATCAAGAGGAAGGCCTAAACGAAATTTGGTCGGTAGGTGGTGTTTACTGAACAGATACAGTCGTTTAAAGAGAAGGTCATTTTTTTAAACGCAATTTATTTTATATTATTATTTGATTTCGTCCAGCCTCCTGCTCTTTAATGCAATGGCATGTCTTCAATGACATTGCACTTGCAAAAACCATGTATCTGTTTAGTTATCACACATACGTGCATACCTAATATAAATAGAAGCTATATAAACAAAAAAGATATTACATTATCTTAGAATTAGCTGCTTGGGATAGTTTCCTTTTACTTCGAGAAAACATTTTAACGACAAAATGTAATTAAACGTTTATACACACGTGCACATCGTATAACGTAGTGGAGGATGTTTTACTACCGCTCAGTTGATTATTTTTTACACCTACACGTATTTTTCGGTTTTATGCAGTTTAATAATACGATCTATTGTCTTCTTTTAGAACACAACATGTCTTTGGACCATTCGTTCTTAGGGTGCGCTTCAAGGAAAAATATCACATACATACATACGTATATGCCTGAACTTATTCACATAATTTACGTCATCATTGTCGCGTTTATAAAGCGAAATTTTTTCAAGTAAATCTCAATTGTTGTCCTGTCCTTCATCGAGAAGCGGTACCTCGATTATATATACATATATGATTATGACTATTAAGTTCTATATAGATCCATATTCCGATGTCTTACCTTTTCCGAGGTGGAAAGAAAAGATGTATCTAATACGAATATTATAATACATATTGCTAATAGTCGAAACGTATTTGCATTTAGTGAGATATTTAATATTTCGTGTACGTTGTGATACCGAGACGCAACGTCGGAGAGAGATACCCGATTGTGTAGTCGTCTTTTATCTGAATAATTCAAATCGCGCGTAGATTTATTCGCATTTAAATAGTACGTGTTTCCTTGAAACGTAAACCGAAGAAAAAAAGTGTCTTGCTAAGACGATAGGAAATGTGGTGCAGTTTAGCTTTTGTTTTGATAAGGGTCTAGACCAAACGCTATTATTATATTACATGTTGTAGCCTAAATGCAAACATTTTGTAATAAAATTCAATATATTGAAATAACATTGTAGACTTGAATCAATCTTTGTCTCTTTCTTTTTTTTCTTTATTCTTTTCTTAATCATTCAATGTTTCATTCAATAATTATTTCTTTAATTATGTGTTTATAAACCGATCATTTATTTAACTGCTTACGATGAAAGAATAATTCTCTGGATAACATTTATTTTTACTATATTAATTAATAGACATAATAAAATGTATACATACGTTAAATGTGTTATTACTTTTGTAAACATTATATGTATTATTACTAAAAATTCCAGATACAATATGAACTCATAAATTATTTTTAATGTTACAAAAGTATGTGATTATAAATTTTTCTTATATTTACTTTTTGTTTCTTCATGTGTCTTTAAATTTTTGAATATTAATTAATAAATCAGGAACAATAATACCTATAAAAATTTAATTCTTAATAACGTAATTTAAATCTCTTAAAAACAATATTCGACCAATTAAACTTTATGCTTTCATAGATCAAAAGAAAAACTTATTTCTGATTGGCTGACGTACGTTCGATTAATGTCGATCAATATAAAATTTATTTGATGATAAATCTTCGCTTTTTTTTTTTTTTAATTTAAAACAAATGCAGGATTGTCTTCGTTTAAACATAAATATAATATAAACATTGTAATTACAATTTGATTTATTAGATATTGATATATTATATATGCGCCATAATCGTTATTGCTATTTTCGATAATCGAAATTGAATACAACAGTGCAAAATTACTATATATCGAAATGTGCCAGATGTCGAAAACAGTTAAAGAGCTTTTATGATTCAAACGAAAATATTTACACGTTATATCTTCATAAACATGTATTAATGTTATTAAAGTCCGTTACAAGAAATCGCGAAACCTATTTTATTAATCACATAATAAAATCTTGAAGAGAGGCCTTTCGGGAGATTTCTTATTATAAGAAAATCAACTGTGTTTTCTTTCGTATGGCAATTGATGTGATTATCGATAAGATATTCTCTCTAAAGTTTCAACAGAATTAAAAATATTTGTCTACAACGTCGAGAGATTATAAATGGCACTTTTATTTACAAGTATGTGGGACTCTACGATGTTCCTGAGCACCCTAACCCCAAAATTCTACGTAGCATTAACAGGAACGTCATCATTAATATCTGGTCTTATTCTCATATTCGAATGGTGGTACTTCAGAAAGTATGGTACTTCATTTATCGAACAAGTATCTTTGAATCATATTTCACCTTGGATTGGTGGAGGTGATACTGCAACTGATAATGCTAACTCAAGTTTGAATAATTCCAATGGTTCTAATCAACAGAACGTTCCTGAATGTAAAGTTTGGCGTAATCCAATAAATTTATTTAGGGGTGCAGAATATCAAAGATTTTTTTGGGCGACTAACAAAGAACCGCTAACATACTATGATATGAATTTATCAGCTCAAGACCATCAAACTTTTTTTACTTGTGAAGGTGATACAGGTAAATATAATAAAAGTCTGTTTGAACATAATAGAAGTCTGGTTATAAGTAATAGCCGACAAAAGTTAAATGTAAATATTATATTGTTTTTATATTAATTGATTATATCATATAGGTAAAGCTGAATATGAAATTATGCAAACAGCTTGGAGAGAACGAAGTCCTGTAGCCAGAATAACAGCTGCGCATAGTGCTTTAGAAAGTAATCCAGATTGTGCATCAGCTTATATTTTACTAGCCGAAGAAGAAGCTACTACAATTGTAGAAGCAGAAAAGATTTTAAAACAAGCTTTAAAAGTAGCAGAAAATAATTATAGAAAATCTCAAAGTACACAACATCAAGGTTCCATTGCAGAAGCGATACACAGAAGAGACACAAATGTACTTATTTATATTAAAAGACGTTTAGCTATGTGTGCAAGAAAACTTGGAAAATTGAAAGAAGCAGTAAAAATGTTCAGGGACCTAACAAAGGAAGTACCACCAATTATGAATGTTTTGAATATACATGAAAATCTAATAGAAGCTTTGTTGGAGATGCAAGCATACGCTGATGTTCAAGCTGTTTTAGCAAAATACGATGATATAAGTCTACCAAAGTCAGCCACTATATGCTACACAGCTGCTTTATTAAAGGCAAGATTAGTAGCTGATAAATTTTCACCAGATATAGCTAGCAAAAGAGGTTTAACTACAGCAGAAATGTCAGCGGTGGATGCTATTCATAGAGCAGTAGAATTCAATCCTCATGTACCAAAATATTTATTAGAAATGAAACCTTTAATTTTACCACCTGAGCATGTTTTAAAAAGAGGAGATTCAGAAGCTATAGCTTATGCATTTTTCCATCTTGCACACTGGAAACAAATGGAAGGAGCACTTAATTTGTTGCATTGTACATGGGAAGGAACATTCAGAATGCTACCGTATCCTTTGGAAAGGGGGCACTTATTTTATCCATATCCAACATGTACCGAGTGTGCGGATCGCGAACTTTTACCTACTTTTCATGACGTCAGCGTTTATCCGAAAAAAGAATTGCCATTTTTTATTTTATTTACAGCCGGTTTGTGCTCCTTTACAGCACTCTTAGCTTTGTTGACTCATCAGTATCCTGATACCATGGGTGTAGTCGCACGAGCGATGCTCGCTTGGTTCTCTCATCCATTTTATTATATTTTGGATAAGTTAGAAACTGTCTTGCCGTCTAATTTATTACAGCAGCTCTCTAGAATATAAGATTTTCTTATGATCTCTATTAATCAAGACCTATTGTGATATTTATGATACACTTTTTTTCTTTGTTAGATACGCTAAAAATAAGCGTATTAGATGTTCGCGAACAGCTCTTCTTCCTTATTACATTTTTATGACTGATGATTGGATATATGTATTTATAGTACGAATTAATTGTTTAGCATTGTAAGTCAATTAAATCATCTACCTTGAATGAAACGATGTACAAGTAATAAAAACAAGTAGATATGCTTACGGCACTTTCCACTTTTTAAATTTCGTTTCTTATTTTTCTTTTTGCTGCCGTAAATACATTATGTAATACATAATATAAATAGCTTTTAAATATTAAAAAGAATGATTAATAAAAAGAATTTCATTACTAATCTTCAGTATACGTATATTTGATATTTTTATATTTAATTTTTTAATTGACTAAATGATGTAATTTATTATTTTGTTTTCTTTTATCAAGAGAGCTTGAACACAGTTAAATTATGCGAGGATGCGATGGAAATTCATGCTTGTTGCATTGTTGTTAGATTTTGCATTATATAAGAAAATTATAATTATACGGACGATTTTGAACAATGAATTATTCAATGATAAATTATGAATGATTTAATTTGTTGTGTTGTCAATTAATTATACGCACTTTGCTTGCGTAGTTATTGAAGAGGATATGCAAATAGTTAGAGTACACGTACATATCATTGCATTCGTATTTATTCGATATTTCATATTATCAATAGCTCGTAATGAGTTGAGAGAACAAACAAGACCAGGTATATTCATATTTTGCATATTGTTAAGATAAAACATGGCTTATATGTTACATAAAGGAAATAGATACAATTTTAATAAATCTGATCTTATACAATTGTATTAAATATACATAATACAACGAGTATTGACAAATTTAGAATAAAAAAACTTCTTCATTATATTATAAATTAATTTATATTAAAATATAACAAAACCAACGATTACTATCGGAGAAATGAATCAACTCTGGTCTGCCTGTCTATCGTGAGACGGTTATGATAGGAGAGAGAGATATAAGACACTTGGAAGTCAGAGGGCCCAGGTCTCTCGTACTCTGGGCTGGCTCACCATGACTTTGATTTTGTTTCAAACATTCATCCACTATTAGCCTTAAATGATAACTGATTTAAATTTTTTGTTTTTATGTACAATACTTTTTTACTTTATAATTTAGTTACTCGAAAAAAAGAAAAAACAGATATAACGCAGGAATAGTATTAAATAATTGTTTCCACATAGCTAAGACAATTTGTATTATAATTATGAATGTACGTAATAAGAACATGTAAAAACTTTTCAAATGTGGTTCTTAAGTTTTACTATAAGAATTATCCTTAATAGATTGTTACAATTACATGTATGTATATATATATATATATATATATATATATATATATATATATATATATATATATATATATATATATGTATATATGTATATATATGTATATATATATATATATATATATATTATTACATATAATATGTATATATATATATATATATATATATATATATTATATTATTACATATAATATGTATATATATATATATTATATTATTACATATAATATGTATATATATATTTATATATATATATTTATATATATATATTTATATTATATATTATATATTTCAGTATATAATATATAATATATATTAATATATAGTAATATTGATCTATAAAGTAGGAGATATTTTTTTTTGAGTATTCGTCTTCGGTTAGTATCTGAGCCTTTTACGTGTAGCCCATATACGTTCAAACGGCACATATGATTCTTCCATCATTTCTTCCATCATTCATGCCGTTCCGGATAGATTTATTTACTGCCAAAACGGTTGAATTATTTTCTTGCGATCCGACAAAAGTCCACATATTGTGTTTATTTACAAATAACAAATTGTCCAGTTCACTATAAGGGTAGCATCGACAGACAGCCCTGTAATCACTTCACTGCATTTTTAGACTTGATCGTAACCACCATTCTCTATAAATAAGGCACCTTTAACAAATTACGCTGTTATAGGCTACAACGATCTAGCAGTCCAACACTTATTCAATGTTATAAGATCTGCACCGATAGTAGATAACTCGTAATTGTCAATTGAGGCTTACATAAACTGCTGTATTAATACAATGAACGAAAAACAATATGCATATGTAAACATTATGTAACTAACTGGGCACTGTAAACATCAAAAATTATTTCCCGTTTAAAATTTGAATTCTCTTAAACGGAAATAGTCATCTTCTCTCAATTTTCTTAATATGTTTTGTTTACCATAAATTAACATAGTCATAACAAATACTTTATCATTTAATGTTTTATAGCATTTATAATAAATATATTAACTGTACTTATTATTTGCTACAATCCAATATCTTTAAAGCAGCGTAGTTCGCGTAAAACTTTTCGTTTCAAATGCCTCAAGAGTTTAATCTAAAATGATTTTTATCTATTCATGCCTCATTTCGAATGCCTCAAATTTCTTCTAAAATGATCTACCTACCATGCCCACCACACTGGGCTGCCAAAGCGACAAGTAATTCGAAGATCAGACGTAATTGACCTAATCCAGTTAACGCGATTCGATTTAGACTATTTAATTTTATAGAAAAAAAAAAGAAAAAGAAAAAAGAAAAGAAAAACAAAAAAAGAAAAAAGGACCGGAGAGCAATTTATTCACACTGGAACGATATCTCCTTGACCATCGAAAAGATTCAAAAGTACTTTGTGCTCGTGGAATGTTGAAAAGTGTATTTAAAAGTGTGGAAGAAATCCCACATTATTAAATTGATATTATTTGCAACTGTTCTCTTCTTTGTCCATGATAAAAATATCTTCCGACGCCAAAAAATTATGACACTGGCGTGGATGAAAAGCTTCACTACGGCATTAAAGAGTACCGTTTGCGAAGTACTGATATCGGTCATACAGTTTAGTAGACCAAGAATGAATGCTACCTTCGACCAAATCTTCAACATGGCGACGTAATTGGTCTTCCGTAAGCGTAAGATGAAATCTATTTTTCAATCCTTGAACCGTAGCGGCTCCTCCACTGCGGAAACAAGGAAGTTGAGATCCTATAACGGGAAACAAAAAATGATTAAGATTATATAAAGGAATGTTTTATGAGCAAAGATAAAGTATCGATTATTATGCATTGATTACTAAAGAAGTATTACCTGATAACATGATTTCTACTAGATTAACAATCTTTTCCATATGCTTTCGTGCTGCGATTAAACCTTGAAGAATGAGAGTTTTAAATTGTTGAAAAATTTTTGATTGACTACCACCCATCACTTCAACAAATTCGGGAGTCAATTTAAATGGACTGGTCTCAAATCCCAAATTGCGAGGTGAGGTTGATAATATGAATCCAAAATCTATATGTATTAGGTGTCCATCGCTATGTAGTAAAATGTTTCCATTGTGACGATCCTTCACTTGAATGAGATAACTTATAAGACAGTAAGCAGCACAACTTTGCACGAAGTTCTTTTGAGCTACGATAAACGCTTCTGAATTTGAAGGACCAAATTCTCGTTCGAAGTATTGTAGAAGAGTCAGCTGACAGTGCTTTTTTATTTGATGTAAAGATACAGTGTTCAATATTGGTTCTATCAATCCACTATCATTGGATAAACATAAAATCCTACAAATTATATGAAGTTGCAGTGAATTGTAACTTGTTAAAAGACATAAGTTAATGTTTATAGAAATAATTTTTATCATACTTGTATGGTCGAACCCAAAGTGGAATTTTCTCATCTAGCCAAATTTTTTGTAACATTGAAAGTAATTGGGAAGCAAGAAGTTCTTGTCTTAAATCATCCCCACATTTTACAATAACGGCAAGAAGTCTCCAAGAAGCTAAATGACCATATGGACTGGATGCTCTAATACGTTTCTGCTTTAATTCCCATGGCTCTTTGAGGACGGCGGCTGATGGATCCTCTGGATCATGGTTAAATGTTGCACTAGGTGTAGCAGTCATTTCACTTAGACGACGTTTTATATCACCAGGTACAAAAACTGGTTCTCGACTATCAGATGATTCTTGACTTAATTGCGATATCGTATCTCTATCTCTGGGCTTACGTAATTGTAAATACTGTTGAGATAGAAAACAAAAGTTGAATAATGAAGAAATATGAAGAAAACAAGCATACATGTATAACTAACGTTACCTGTTGTGTGATTTCATCGTCTTCTTGACTCCAACAATCATTTGGATCGTCATCGGGAAAATTAAATGCTATTTCTGTATTCTTAACAGAATATGGAGAGATATTTTTAACAGGAGTCTGTCTAAGTGCTGTTGTTACGTTTTGCTGCATTTCAGCAGAAACCAGATTAGATGATGACGTCACATTAGACTGTTCACCACCAGTTAAATTTTCTTCAGACTTCGTATGCCTTAATGAACTTCCCATAATTTTGGTCGGCACAGGTGATGTATATAAATCTTCTACTTCCAATACTTCGACATAAATAATATATGGTGCCTAAAATTGTAAGATTTACAACTGTAATGATATGAAATAAATATTTATAGAAGTATAAGAATTAAAAATATCAACCTTATCTTTACTATTAAGCACAGCAGCATATTGTGGAGGGACTCTTACAATATGATGCGGTACTGTACTATGCAAAGGCAACCATACCCTTGCAGGAAGATTTAAATTAAGAGTGTTAAGTTCTGCTACCAACTGTACAGTCTTACTTTCTTTTGTTGGAATAGTCCCAAGTAATTTACCAATAGATATCAATGCTTGAATAAATTCAAGTTCTGGAGCAAGACGGGGTGCCTATTATAATGAAACAAAACAAGAATAATCAATATCATGTATTATTCAAATTAATTGAGCTTTTTATAAATACCAATTTACTTACATTGCAGAAGCAATCGGTTTTTTGACCTCTTAAATCATTTACCACACCTTGGCAGGAATAAAAACAGGTACAACCATTGTCAAATGCTCGACCAGAGCTCAGGTCCCCAAGGCTTACTTTATTTATTGTACCTTTACAAAAAACAAATAGATAAATTTTTATTTAATGTTTTTTGAATATAAACTTGATTTAAATTTTATATATACCGGAATGACTACGGCGTAAAGTTTGGAACAATCCAGTAGCATCCGATTGAGATCTTTGGTGAGTTTTCTTATTAGGTGACATAACGTTCTGTGTTAAAGGTAATGGCGGCGAAGCAGGAACTTGCAACGCGGAAGATCGTTGCTTTCGTGTCAGATTTCCTTTCGGCCTGAATTTATAATATTTTCGAAATGTACTATAATACATTCTAATAATACATAGCATTTTCTATTTAAATTCTTACCTAAGTTCATCTGACAAAATGAGATTTTTTAATTTGGTCCCATGAGACTTCTTTTTGGATGGCAAATGAGCATCAGAGCTGTATGCATCTAGTAGCCAAGCACATTTTAACGAGAAATCGGCCGATTGTCTACATCTGTAAAAAAGATAAAAACGTTAATACAATAGGAATATGTCAAATAGATTCATGAAAAATATATTTTTACCTATGGACAAGATATGGATAAAGAACTTCAGTAACATCATGAAGTTGTATATACATTAACACCAATTGTGGCAAATAGAAATCCACTTCGTTATCAGGAAAACTGAACATCTTGTTACCTAAAAATATACTAAATATGTGTGAATTTTCTGTTTCTATGCAAGAATCCATAATGCAAGATTTATCTAAAAGTATGTAAATTCATATCAATTTTCTCATAAAAAGTTGGCAATTATATGATTTAGAAAATATCAATTAAGAATTTCTATTAAAAAACTTACCTAGATAACTCTGAACACCTGGTTCTTTGGAATTGAAAAGATAGGATATGGCCATAGACATATCAAATATTTGACTCTCGAATAACCTGAGTAAACATCCCTCCGATGGCTTTGGCTGAACTGTCTCTTGTCTTTGAACTTCTGGTTGTTTTTTTACAGTTTCTTTGTCAGGTTGTGCAGAGGTGCCACAACATAAAGTCATCGCAGCGCCTGCCAATTCTCCTTGTACCATGGCTACTTCGGAGGAAGAATTCTGATATTCCATAGCTTTCTCAGATATGCTATTACAAGGTTCCTCGCATGGGTATTCATGATTTTGAAGTTCTTTAGGACAAAGGACTATACCAGAGTGTTCCTCAGTTTCATGATTAGTTTTATCGAGATTCTTTAGTTTACAGAGTTCACGATCACCATTCTTTTCGGGCAAGGACTCACTACGTAACACTAATTCCACAGGAGACACTGATACAGACACCCCACTGTTGTCTTCTCCGTCAACAGCATCAATCCCATCCATATCTCCTGTTTGTGACAAAGTAGAATCGAGACTTTCTCTACTATGCAAATGATCTACACTTGACTCTCTGGTAGCTGTGTTGGCAGCGTCACTAGAACCGCTGTCGGAACCACAGAGTATACCAGAGTCGTCGGATCCAAGACTAGCGAGATCTTCGCGTTCTCGACTACGTCCCTTGCAGGTTGGCACCGTTGTCTTAATTACGGGCGTAGGGTTCGTCTCGCATTCTGGACTCGGAGTAACGTCCACCTCAGGGATTCGTTGTAAAGCCGAATCCAGGCTTCTGTTTCTATGGTGCAGCGTTAACGTTGTCGCGGCCGCTTGGGGCACCGGTGGAAGTAAGATACCCATTGACCTATAATAAATATTATAATTAATGTCTCAAAGTTTCCCGCTTGTCATCATAATTTCATGATCCAATTATCCAATCTCGCAATAATCTTTATCACTATTTTAAGAAAGAAACATAGAGAAACTCATGTACCTAAAGTCCAAACTATGATTTCGTTGATGAGTTGTCAGCCTATTGCGAGCGCTGATTGATGGATTTGGTCGGCCATGAACAAGAGGAACATTACAGTTAGCTAATTTGTGCCTTTTGATATGTGCCACGCTTTCCTGGCGCGTCGATCCACCAGTAGGCACTGTTACGGCTACGACTTCGCTCATATTAAACTTAAACGAGCACTGGCTCAGCCAACAGTCATCTGCTGTTCATGTTGACAGCTCACCTGTAAAAAAATAAAAAAAGAGGAAGACAAAAATAAGGAATGTGAGGATATTATTATTTAACATTAATAATCATTATCGGTCAAGATCGAAATTTCAGTGAAATTAATCTTAACAGATTGAAAAACGTGCTAAAGAGAAACATTCGTTAGTTTACGTAACACATTTCTAATGTATATACATAACCCGAAAGAAGACGGGCTGCTTGGCAACACTTTGCTCGCTGCCAACGTTGACAGTGAATGCCTAAACAACTTGCATATGTATCTACGTATACATATATACATACATACATCACATGCATACATACATATATACATCATATGTACATACATATACACACACGTGTATATTTCTCAAGAAGCATGCAATATGCGGAGAAAGTACAGACGCTTTTCGACGAACGACGAAAATCTTCCGAGAAAAGACGATTCCTCGTGGAAAAACACGAGTTCTGTTGATGCGAGACGAATGTGAGGCACGCTTCGTTTCTAGAGCACAATTTTAATTAAACTCGAACGTGTACGAGTCTTATAAACGTCGCAAACGAAACGTATTTTATGTAGACTTTTAAAGAGCAACAGAAATTACTCGTCGGCAAATGAGAATCTTTGTCTTGAAGTCGGGTGGAATCCTAGTTTCTTCCTTTTTCTTTTATTTCTTTTTTTTTTCATCCTCGATATATTTAACTAACGTTAACTTTATAGTATCGTAAAAACAAAGTAATGAATAATCGCATTATTCGTTTTAAAATTCCCATGAAAATTGATTTGTCATGACCATTGTGAAATCTCCGTGGCATTTAATAGAGAAAAACAAAACCTAAGCAATTGCATTACTTTGGAATACAATCGTCGAGTAGAAGCTTTGTTTGAAAATGGCGCGCCAGAGAAATTTATAGTCGGGAATATGAGCGAGACAAAATGTGTTTGCGTGTGTGTGAAGAGGAACATTGCGTAGAAAAAGATCGCGAGAGATAAATCTCATAACCTAGAAACCATTCGATTGAGAAACATAAAGATCCCTGTAAATAGGTTTTATGAATGTTTATGAATGAAGAATGATAGAAAATAATAGAACATAAAAAGATCTAAATTAATATATCATCACTGACAAGCGACGTGATAAAAGATATTAATAGAAGGAAAAGAAACGTATTACCATTGGTCGACTATTAGGAAGTTTCGAAAATGAGATTGTGTAGAATCGTTATCGTTACCAAAAAAATATTTACAGTTTCGTAAAGCTTATAATAGTAATAATGATAAAAAAAAAATAAAAGAAAAGAAAAAAGCAAGAAAAAGAAATAAGATGAAGAGAAAATGAACATTATATTATCGTAATGAAAGGAGACACATAATCGTTCCAAACATTTCAACACAAGTCGAGAACCATTTCCGGTAGGTAAGTGAAACGTCGATTCTATGTTAGTTAAAGATTAGATCCAATCAACGTTTCATTCTATTTTACTGTCTCCTCGAGCTCAATCATACAATTAACACCTATTTCTACGAGGGAATGATCTATGATTTAAATCATTTCTTCGATGTCTTCCATCAAATAAATTTTAGTTCATATACGTTCGTGCACGCTACAATACCAACACTTTCGAAATTATTTTTTCTCTCTCTATAGATTTCAATATTAATTAATCGTAAAAAAAAAATTAGATAAAATTCTTCAAACGAGTGACGCCCACGATCATTCTAAAACGATTAGATTTGTTATGCACTCTAGAGAATTTGCTTCTGTCAAGGTCAATTGAATATACAGATGTCGTCTTCGATCAATACGACGAAAACAAACCCCCCGTAGCCCTTTAAATAAGTTAATGAACTTTTTTTTCTCGATAAGACCAATTTTCTGAAGTATATAATTTATCCACTTACGCTTGGTACTTAATTTGATTAAAGATTTTAAATTTTGGCTAACTGCCAGAACTTTGAATCTTTAATCAAATTAACTGTGTTCACATGCGTGTTAACACAATTGATCATCATTCGTCATAAGGTTTTTCAAGAATTTATTCATTATGATTGTCTTCAAATATTTCTCTTGATGATATTCATCGAATAACGAATAAGCAAAGTTACATGTAAATTTTTGTATATAACATGAAAAAAGTTCATAATAAAATCACAGTAAGAGAGATTTTTTTAGATGTAATGATTTTATGATTTAACGTAATCTTTATGGCTGAATAATACTATTCTTGAAATCTAGTATTGCAGAACAAATATAAATGATACCGAATACGATGCATCCGTATTCGGTTATCATGCAAGCGGATCTCTCAATCTCTCATATTTCTTTTTTTCTCATACTATTATTTCATATTTATTTAATTGCATAATATCTTTTTTATACGTCTCTGTGAAAATTCGATTTATAACCTAAAAAAAAAGAAAGAAATAAATGAATAAAAAAGAAATAAAAAAAAAGTAACCCTTTCCTTTAACCTCATTCTCGTAAACTTCTTAACTTCATCCATTCTGATGCGGTAAATTTAAAAAAAGAGAAAACATCGTATTCCTTCATATTGGACAAAGCAGTTCATTTCTTGAGACCGTCTTAAGAAACGCGTTTCGTAGAGTTTCTTACAAAACTATCAGACTCTTCCGTGAAACGCAAAAGAGCGTCGAGTTTCACGAAAACGATGTGTTAAACTCGAATGTTCGCGTCCAGCCGAGCATGTGCTTTCACCAGTTTCACTTTGCTTACAGTTCCCTTCTTCTTCCTTCTCCCTTTCGCTGAACTTCTTTTCTATGGAATACACATACTCGATAACAAAAACAAAAAAATAAAAAGAAAAGAAAAGAAAAGAAAAGAAAAGAAAAGAAAAGAAAAGAAAAGAAAAGAAAAGATAAATCAACCAATCATCGTTCCTCGTGCGTGTGAAAATTAATTGTAAATAATTTAGAATTATTAAATAGCTGTCACAATTAACCGTTCATTTATCAAAGTGATTAACTCCGTATAATAAATAGTAGAGAAAATTTATAAATTTATATATATTGTTGTTTAATATTTTTTTATAAAATATATGTTTTAAATGTATATTGTAGAATGTATTATTACAGTTGTAGCTTTTGTTACATTTGTAACATAAAATTGTTATTAACTTTAAATGAATAATAATTAATAATTAAGTAATACAACATTATTTTACTATATATAGTAATCAGAGTTATTTTTTTATATATGATACATAGTTTTATATATATATATATATATATACACATAATTAAGTAGTAAATTATTTATTAAGCGAACATGCAAAGCTTTGTTATTTGATAGTGTTTAAAGTAATTACCAAGAAAAGTTATTTTAAATATAAAAAATTAAATATCGATCAAATACTATGGTATAGTAAATTTTTAAAAACTTCACAAAGTCAAAAGATCTGTCAATTACAGCTTGTGAACGGTTCTTTTGAAAAAAAAAAAGAGAGAAAAAGAAAGTAAAGAACGGAAAAGCCAGAAAAAAACAAGAAAAAAAAATCGATCAATCATCGTTTCTCGTGTAAAACAGATTTATAAAAAAAAAAAAGAAAAAAAAAGAAAAAAAAAGAAAAAAAAAAGAAAAAAAGAAAAAAAAGGAAAAAAAAGAAAAAAGGAAGGAAAAATAAGTAATCATGTTCCTCGAGAAAATTATTAGTTAACAAGATAGGAAAAGTTGATCTCGATCTCGCGATATCTCGAATCAAGAGCAAGAGAAACAAAGCGTGAGAGACTGCAAAGAACCTCGGCGATTTCTCACGGAATATCGTCCTTTCCGGCGGAAGAAGGCAGGGACGATGAAAAAAAAGAGATGGGGAGAGAGAATAAAAAAAAAAAAAAAAAAAAAAAAAAAAAAAAAAAGCGAGAAATCAGTCTGGAGGACACGGGCAGCGTAATTCTCATTTTGTGTTCCTTGATTGACAAAAGTTCGATCCCGACGAATTAGCGTCAATCATGATTGTGGTACGTGATTGGTATAGAGAGAGAGAGAGAGAGAAAGAAGAAAAAAATAACCATCGTGTGCTTTGCTTCATGCATGCGCACTTTGATCTCTAGCATATATTTCGATCCGAATGAATGTCACTCGCGTGAATTTCTATTTTGCTTATTTTAACGACATTTATCATTGTAATACAGTCTTTGAATGATATTTAAAATAAGACCAAATCGATAAGAAGAATGGTAGTAGTAAAGCTGTTAGCATTCGTGATAAGAAAATAATTTACGTATATATTAAATCATGGAAAATAATATACTTTTATGAGTTGTGATTAACTTTTAGAATGATAATAATACTTCTTTGGGTCGTATTTAGTCACATTATTATTACATATGTAAAGGATAATGAAGAAACGATCTATTATCTATTATAAATATTTAGTCATAACAAAATGAATAGACATTGGGCGAATAAGAAAATAATGAATATGTATAGCATATATATATACACACACACACATATATATATATATATGTATACATGGATATATGTATTGATGTATTTAAGTCTAATTCACAGATATCGATAAGCTATATTCTCCGAATTACAGGGAACACATTCCTGACAAAACACGTAACCTAAGCGTATGTATATCTGATTGACTCGACTTAACCACACGATCATAATCACGAGGTCCATTCAAGTCAGAAGGACGCATAATTCAATCTATATATGTATGTATGAGTAAAACCGTGATATATGATAAAACACTTGTACAAACCACCTACGATTCTTGAAATTAGGACGTGAACGTGCGAACGTTTAAAGTTTACGCCGCCTAAACACCTTTCAAACTGGTATCTCTTTGCCCGCGCAATTTTACGAGTCGACATACTTTATCGCGCGAAACGAGTACGATCGCGTTAATCTGATATATAAAGAGACTTCGCAATCGAGGGGGAATGCGTTGAAGAAACGTGCTCGATATCGTTTAATACCAAGGACGTTTGTTTTAAAACGTAAGCATGAAAGGATGGATTCGTCTTTGACGATTAGAAATTCATATTTATTCCCTCCCTCTTTTTTTTTTTATCATTTATAAAATGATCGAATATCATTGAATGGAAAAATAATTCATACAATGTGAAAGTTTTTCAATGTCCTGCGAGAGAGTGTGACCTTTCCAAAAGAAATTGCATGAAACGATTGAAATATGAGATAAAATCAAAATGAAAAGGATGATACGTTCGACGCATCACGTCGCAGACGAACGAACGTACGTATGTACGAACGAACGAACGAACGAACGAACGAACGAACGAACGAACGAACGTTCGCATGAGAAAAGTAAAGGCAGTCGAGGATAGCCGAGCGAGATCGAGCGCCGCTTCGGCCGGTTCCTCTCACTCTGTTTCTCTCTTTTTCTCGCTAGCTCGCTCGCTCGCTTACTCACTCACTCACTCGCTCGCCACATCTATTTATCTCTAGCGAAGCTCATTCCGTCTCTTTCTTGCACAGCTTTTTCGCCGGCAACGTTCACGCGTGACTGACTCTCTCGCGGTGCCGTTTCTGGGGTGTGCCAGGGAGTAAAAGCAGCGCAGTGAGAGAACGAAGGGCCGCCTTCACCGGCGTCTTAAGGGCTCGTGATTCTCCATGAAACTCTTCCCTTCCTATTCCCGTGAGAACTCCACCCGATCGACTCTTCTGATTTCATGGAATTCGTCTGTCGGCTAACGTACATCGTACCTTCTTCTCTAAACCTTTCAAGCGTAGAAAATGAAGTCCGATCTTAATCCTTTCTGACTTATGCTTTTCTAACATTGCTATTTGAAATATACATATACATATATTCCTTTTTTCCGTATATTATTAATAAATCTGATATGTCAACGTTGAGAACCGATTGGTCAAAGAGAGTTAATCAATCAATTTGCAGTGCTTTGTTTGATCGCTCATTGGTCAGTTTAATAAATGATAGAATATGCATTATGCAAGAAAAACAAGAAATAAAATAGATTTACTATATATCGTTATACGTTTATACAATCTTGGAGAATCGATAAAGAATATACATAACCTTCGATTCTCATTGAGGAAAACTTTTTATTAAAGGATAATAATTGACGATTGATTTACGTGATCATTTTGATAATATATACATCGTTCAAATTTTCCGCGTCTGATGAAATTCCTTTTCGTATTTATAAAAATATTATTATTAAAAAAGAACAGAAGAAAAAAAAAAAAAAAAAAAGCAGTTGCACTTCGAAACGAAACATTCGGCACATTATTTCTCTCTCAATTTCTTTCGAAGCTTGTTCATGATTAGAAAGCGATAAAAACGCTCTTATTTATACAAATGAATTATTTTTTCTTTTTTTTATAAATTTCATACGACAGAATTGTTACAATCTTCTCGACAACGTGATAATCAATGGAATTATCTTTGCGTTATCTAATTGAAAATATTGACATGATTCATCTATCGATTTATTTCCATTAAATGAACGATTTTAAACCAATGATCCGCTTACAAAGAATTTTAAATGAATCGATGATCGAGAAAAAAAAAATAAATAAAAGAAGAAAAAAAAGAGAAAAAAATAATAAAAAGAAAAAGAAGAGAAATGAAAAGATTGAAACTAAACCATTTGCTTTAGCTCAATATATAATCAACATTAATCCCGGATGCAGACGGTGCGCGCTTTACCGCATGCAGGATCTTAAAAGATACATCCCCTCTATTAGACTTTTTCAACCCTTTACAAGTTTACGTCAAAGCTGACGTCATATAGATCCATGTGCGATGGCATTGAAAGACGAAGTATACTAAAACGGAAATATGCGTTATGCACGCACATTAGAGAAAAAAACACTTTAATAGGATCTATACTATACTTTTTATCCGAGGAATAAAGAAGAAAGATAAACGATACAAAACAAACTGAAGTTTCTCACGTGACTAACTTCTCCCCATTTAATCCTTCCTCGTTCGCATTTTCGCTGGTCATTCTAAATAGCTGGCAAAGAGCCAAGGGAGCCAAGGGAACCAACGTACGTTCTGTTTTTTTTCCTTCTTGTTTTTTCTTCTTTTTTTTTTCCTTATAATTTCGTAACATAATGTAAACCAAATAACATCTATTAATGATCGAATGAAATTCAATAATAAGAATTTAGTATAATCGTTAATCTATACTTCCTTATCATTAAAGAAGTTTCAATAAAGAAATAATAATTTCGTCGGATTTCACGAATTTCGAAAGAACGCGGCTAAAATTTTCGTATCCTCATATATCGCGTTCAAATCGATTCGAGAAAGTCGACGATGGCAGCCAAAACCAAGGACTACATATGTATAACGCATACTATGTATTACACATCCTGGTTTCTCTCACTTTGCATTTAACTTGTAAGAGAAAAAGAGAAAGAGATGAAGAAACGACTTCGATAAAAGGAATTTCTTTCTTTTATCGACTTACTTATGTGTACTCTCAATATACTTTTAAAAGCAAAAGTACGTGTGTTTTCAAAGTCAGGCCATTTCTCTTTCCCCTACTTTTTCCACCCTACCATCAGAAGTAGCAGAAGTAGGAAGGGACCAGTACTATACTTTGACAATGACAGTTACACACACACTCTCTCTCTGTCTACCCATCTCTTTTTTACCATTCGTATACCTCACAACACGAAACAATACCGCACGCGTTATCGCTAACTCCAAATTGCACGAACACAGGAGTATCATCGACCGTTTTACGAGCTATCTGTCTGTTAAACGAATCGTATATGAAAAAAAATATTTTCACGAATTCGTTTCCCTATGTTTTTTCTCCGATTAAAAAAAAATAATCATTCTATATTTTTTGATATAATATAATAATAATATAATAATAATAATTATTATTATTATTAATGTTAATATAAGTATATTTTTTAGAAAAGAGCCAACGTATACCAATTCGTCAAAATAACATAAGTTACGAAGCACGATCGAGTATATATATATAAGAGTGATACGCGTACTCGTGTGTATATATCATGTGTGTATGTTTATGTATGAGTGTGTAAATCGACACAAGGAATACACTGCTTTCACACATCGCAGAGAACGGGGTTCTCTAAGATATTCGTGAAATCTCTACCTCTCTTGTATTTTGTTTCTTCTTTTTATATACTACTCACAGATAAAACAAGGATAGCGCCTTTCTCTATTCATGTTTCATTCTGTCTCTTTCACTAAACATATAGCAAGCTTGCACGCTGCGCGCACATACATATGTCACACGGACAAACGTCGATGATCATTACGATGGGGTGCGACATTAATGATGACGATGATGTGGCGACGGTGAAGAACTCACCTCGCTTTCGAGAATCCGAAATTTGTGCTACAATCACACCGATGGCATAATAATCTTCGATCACTATTTCTTGTGTAACTTTTTTACTCAAACTTCCACGACAGTGTCTGTCTCTCTTTAGATAGGGACGGTAAAGTAGAATCCGAGTATATTAGTTGATACCAATGAATAGTAGTAGTATTGCTTGTAGTAACGATGTTGCGAGTGAAAGAGAGATGGATACATATCCTTTTCCAATGGCAGAGAGCTCCAGTACTGTCACGCACTGAGAGCGTAGGAGAGGCCGCTTTCAAGCAATTTCGCGCGACGCCCGGCTACGCCCAACAACGACAACGGTGACTTCTTCCAACACTGATCCTCGTTTCTTCTTCATAGCCTCACACCACGTACATTTCGAACGCACGAACCACTCACGACTTTTCCCGAGTTCTTTCTCTTTCTCTCTATCTACCTCTATCTCTTTCTTTTTACCTATATGTATGCGTACATGTATATATACATACATACATGATGTATATGTATATATATATATATATTGTATATATATATATGATTTTCCCTCTTTCTTTTTTTCTTTTCTGTTTTTTTCTTCTTCCTCTTCGAAAAACTTTGGAACTTCTCTTTTAAATGTTTTCTCACTAGTAGAATTCACAAGTTTCAAGTATTATGCGTTCTACGCGAAGAACGTTGTGTAGTTGTGTGACCACCGAGCAAGAGAGAGAGAGACACGAGAAAGGCGACGCGAGAGACGACCTCGCCAGGCTCGACTGCTCGCGCCGCACGATGCACCGACTGGCACGGCGCCACTGCTACCAACCGAACGGTCGCCTTCTTACGGCCCGAACGATACCGAATACCAGGGCTGTACGAGTTTATTCCTGTACCCGGCTTACTTGTTTCTTCTTCCCACTAGACCGCGCACGCGAATTGTCTTTTGTGTTCCTTGTTATGATTTTTTCTTCTCGACTCTTCGGTGTAATTCGAAACTAATTTACTAAAGTATTAATTATGATCTTTATTGAAAGAATTATTTTTGGATTTTAAAATATATTCTATTTTTATTTCGAGATAAATACAATAAAGAAATGGTACTGTTCGGAAAAGTTTCTTTTTTTTTTTTCAAATTTTTCAAAGAAAAAAAAAGGAAAAGATAAAACTGCAATGTTATTCAAAGAAATATATAACAATGTTACGTTACTGAAAACATGTAAATGCCTTGTACCGATGCAAATTAACGAGATAATAATGTAAAACAGTAGGAGAGCGATCGCATGGGATGTCACATATGTGACTGTGCAGCATTTTATTCCGATCTACGAGAGAATGGAAAAATCGCATAGAAGAAACGCTTAAAGGAGTATACGCTCGGGAATACATATCGAATCGGGATAGACATATGTGTAGGTGTAACAACGACGCGTGGGTGGTCCACGGCAGGGCTTCGTCCGCCCGTTTTTCGCGTGGGGCGTACGCAGTTGGGGTATACTCGCTCTATCTTTTTGTCTCTTTCTCTTATATTATTTCTCTCTATTCGCCTTAAGTTGGCAACGATTCTCGTTGGGTGTTTGTACGGGAAAGGTCGCGTTGCGCTATGAGTGCAGCTGTACCGAACACGACTGAGAGCTTCGTAACTGCCTTATGCCGCGTTTACACTTCACTCACATTCCCCGCTAACTCCGATCGAAAGTTATAGTTTCGAAAAAAGGCGGCAGAAGAATAATGAGAGATGAAAGATGCCGGCAAACGAATTCTTTTAGACATTTTACAATTCTTCGTTTTTCTTTTCTTTTTAAAACAATCAACAAACATCTTCCGTATTAACAATTTATGTTACATTATTAAGCTTAATCTCGATTCAATTTTACCAATAATATCGAACAAATGTTTTCTTTCAAATTTCAATCGTTCTTAAGTGAATCTCATTGTCACGTATAATAAAGAAATCGATCTATTTTCGTCGTATGATGTTAACTTACATATTTTCGATATAGTTTTCAAATTCTTTTCCGAAAAAACATCCACAAATCTGATAAAGCGTCGTCGACAAAAAGCAAATATAGAGTTCTTTGTTTCGAAATTATATGCCTTCTTAGTAAGCTCTTTTTACTTTCCAGCATACCCGCATTTCTCTTCGAGTTCGACTTTATTTTTCGAGACCGTTAGAACTATTATCAAATATATATCTATAGATCATCTTGATGAAATCAAATAGAATGTCGTTAATATTCATGCAATGAAAATGTTTTTATAATAATTTCGATTTTTTTTTTAAATACGCATTTCGATAAGAACGAATACGATTTACATTTAAAATATTCGACAAAATACGATATATCAGAATTTTGCACTACCACGTGCGTAACGTAGGTATACGCCAAACAGCTGTTCGCTCACGGCACGTTACGATAATTAACTAGAAAGTACACGATACCTACGTATACGTACACACACACACACGTATATATATATGTATAAACATGGAATCATGCAGGTGTCAATTCATCACATATGTATGTCGCAACGAAATTGGTTCGCGCCGATTTTATGACTACCCGTTTCCTTTTAAGTCGTACAACGATTATCGTTAATCTTTTTTTCTCTTTTTTCCTCTTTAAAAAAAGAAGTTTGATTTTACGCATATTTTTTTCGTTTCATGTAAACGATAATAGATGCATATGCATGTAATAAACAAATTTTATTTGTTATTATTCCTCATTCTCTCATTATAGGACTCATTAAAAATATATCGATTTTATAATATAAAAATAGATCGATAAAATCATGCGTTCGAAAATTTATTTTGATTAATATCTAATATTGTTTCTTTCACGAGATTGGTATGAAAAAGTTTTCGTCAATTTAATTCAATTCTCAATTTAATTCTCATATATGAGGCTAATCAAATTTGCGACCGAACATGTAGTGGATTATTGTTTCGACTTATTTATAAATTCATGCGCATAGTAATAATAAAAAAGGTTACGTTGATTGCAAATACGTATATCAAATAATAATAATTCTTGCTAATACTTGTCGTTGCGGTAATTGTTAATAGATAAGAGAGACAACAAAGTATACTTATATAGCTTCGTACTCGTATCTGCTTTATGGCTCGTTAACTTGCTATTACGCAATTTCGACTGTAGAAGTTTAGTTTAGGGAATAATAATGTTAAATATGCATGATGCATAAAAAAAAAGAGAGATGCGGACGTTGAATTTTTTTTTGAGAAGTCGACTGCCCATGAACACCCTTTCCTATCCCTCTCATCTATCTTCTCTCTCTCTCTCTCTCTCTCTCTCTCTTTCCTCTCTTATTCTTTCTTTCTCTCTCTTTCTCGTAAAACCAGTCAGTCGTTGATGCTTCCTGTAATTTTATACGCTTTCTACCTATCTATAAAAGTAAACTGCGCCTATGAGAATTTGCACGCTTAATGTTCGTTGACGACCCTCGGAATTTTCAAGTGGTTCGCTAAGAATTCTGTTATTATCGAGTCAAGAACTGATTATTTTTGATTTCAACGTTCTAACTATACTTTGTAAATTATGATAATTTGAGTCAAGGGAATTCTAAAATTATAAAAAATATTGAGTTTCTCGTATAAAAATGGATGGGACATGATAAATATTCGCCTTTATTTATTATCGATTTAGAGAATAAAATTTCTCTCTCTCTCTCTTTGTATTATTTCTTATTTGGATTAGAGTATCGACAAATTTAGACAAAATGCATAATATGTCCTTCGATTCTTTCTATCTGCGGATCTTCTTCGAAAGATCTTATTATTAGTCACTCAGAGAGCACGAAGTGCAAAAGTCGTTAAGCCAGCGTAGAAGGACGTTTCATAGCCCGTTGAATATGCAAGTTGTTGTTATACCAATGTAATATTCTCGGAATCGATAGTTTCTCGTTTTATGATTATACGTGAAATACCTCGCACGATTTACTTCGACTAGTTAATGAACTATAATAGAACTCTTAAGAGTGTACGTATTTTCATAATAAAAGGAAACAAAAAAAGAAAAAAAAAAAGAAAAAAGAAATAATAGAAATGAGTAATTAGATTAATGGGAAACCAATGAAACATCGCAGTTGTACGAGAATTATTTGATTATCGTGTGAGATGTATTGATTGCTCAATCAATATCACTTCTAATTACATACTATCGAGCTGTATTAGACCAACCAAATTTAATTACAACAGAATTGCATTAGCTATGTTACTATACGTGATAGCGTCGTCGAGATGCATTAATAAGTTTGGATTAGTATCATCGAAGTGAATGATAACATCGAAACCTCAATGTACTATAGCGCTTTCGTTTATTATCGAACACTGATTATATATTGAACAGTTAAATATAGTTCAATGCTTTACGAAGAATCGGTACGTCTGGCGATATTCGATTATTCGAGAAATAGTCATACCTCGACCTTCAAGTTGCAATAATGATTTTCCTTCTCTCTCTTTCCCTCTCTTTCTCTCTCTCTCTCTCTCTCTTTTTCTCTTTCTGTCTCTCTCGGAATAATTTTACGAGGGGCTGTTAAAAGCTTTTTCTCCTTCCTCGATCTATTCCGATTAAAGCTATTTTTTTTTTGGTCTATCACATCAAATTTATATTTTTCTCACATTGTATAACAATTCATTGATTTTTTTATAATTTTTTTTAGGAAATAACTGAAAGATTAAAAAAAAAGGCTAGGTAATGAAGTATATATATATATATATATATATATATATATATATATATATATGTACGTATACTTATCACATCCTTTTTACGTAACAAGGAGACTCGTCAAGAGTATTAGCTGAAACGCGGCCATAGTTGAGCAACGAGGAAGGCCGTTATATCGTAACGGCCACCGGTGTGTGCAGTACGGAATGTGGAATCGCGGATGAAAAAACGTGTCACGAATCCTTGACCTCCTCTCGTATACACAAGGTGCTAGCTTAGGAGAGCACTTGGGCGATCAACCACAAGAAAGATGGCTACCTAAATACTCTTAGATTCTTCAATCTCTTTTTTCACGTATAATAGAATTTCTTAGAGTAGGTACTGAACGATTCGATGGATACAGTGCCATTTCAAAGATCTACTGATGTGAAAATGTTATAGAGAAAGAAAAATTGATCGATCTTATGAAAGTTATTGTTATCTATTTGTTACAAAAATAATGATAATTCATATGACGTTATCACGATTGACCTTCTAAGACCTAATATACAAATCTGCATATTTAGATCAATAACGTTATGGTTGCTTGTGTGATTACAATTTAAAAATAATAAGATAGATCAAATTGATCGAAGTATTTTATCTATAAATCAAATGTCGTTTGTCTATTGAGTTTAGGATCAATCGGAATTTTATGACGGTTTATGTAGACATTTCGCCCCATTTTTTTCTTTCTTTATTTTCTTTTTTCCTCTCATTTATATATTTTTTTTTTGTTTCAATGCTCGGATTGCGCCAACTCCCACTTACAAAATAATTGTGCGTATTTAAATGAATGGCGATTAGAAATGTAAAAATGTAAGAAAAATAAATGTAATCGGCATATTACATTTAAAAGTTAAAAGATACTCGAATCTTATATGAGAAGTTGCGAATAACCGGCTGAACTCTGGCATGCCAGGCTAGACGATCCTTGACCTTCTGCCGCATACCAAAGAAATTCTGAAACAACGTTGTCTCTTACGCACGAATGTAGAAATTTCTTTTTATTCTCATCGCAATGAGTACAACGACCGCCCACGTGAGCTATACTTATTTGATAAAAGTATTATTTATAAACATAAAGATAATAATCGATCGATTTTTCTCACAATGTCGTTGACTCATTATCGGAAAAATAATTAAACATCACGTCAAGGCATAGGAAAATTTCTTCTATTGAAAAAACTCCAGTTAGTCCCTGTTTTTATTAATTTAAATTTCTCTTTCGTAAAGTAAGCATTATATATTTCTTGATATCGTTATTTAATTTATGATGACGTAATTTAATTAAAATGCGTTTAGTTTCCATTGACATAATCTTTTTTATTGAAAATCTTAATAATGTTAAATAAAAAATAGATTTTGTTCATGGTTCATCTATTGAAATAATCTTTCTCATTGAAAAATTTAATAATGTTAAATAAAGAATAAATTTTGTTAGTTTTATATAATTTAAAAAAATTTTTTAGATCTAAAAATTCGTAATATAAAAACTACGTATACTTTTGGAAAAATACATTTTATCAGTTACAACTTATATATTTCCTAATTACAACTTTAAACTTCCTGATTACATTACAGTACAATTGCGAACGCAAGGAACCTCGTTGACAATCGATTTGGAAAATGAAGCAACAGACTTGGCGCGTTTGTCTTTCGATATAATCGATTTCCATCACTTTGAAGTCTTCTTGACTGTTCTTCTACGATAAGACTAGAAAGAAAGCATGTTCGATCGCATATTACTTGAAGGAAAAGAGAAAGAGAGAGAGAGAAAACTCCTCCATCTTCTACGTATGCTGTTACGTACTGTATAATGTGTATTGTGAACAACGAGGTGAAGATGTCATCTATTAGCATGATATGTTGCAGGTTAACTTATGGAAAGATATGACCGCTCCAATGCCTTCTGAAATTGAATTACACGCATGGTGATCCACGTGAAAGAGGTGGCTACTGTGCATGCAGAATGAGGACATGTTAAGGTACTATTTGTATTACATGTAACCTGGAGAATGTTTGGTTGGATGCCAAGGAAAAAAGTAAGATTCTCCAAATAATCGCAAGATCCACTCTGATATCCTATCTTAATCCTTTTTTTTTTTTTAATTTTTAATAAAAAAATAAAACGATATTACCGTAATTTTTAAAAACGAAAAACTTATTGTTACATATATGTTACATTAAACTATAATTTATTAGTACATATATGTTGTAATTTTGCAACGTCATGGATTTAATCTCGTTGTTATCATGAATTTATTATAAAAAATTATAATTATTGTTTCTCTTGTAGAAAACTTCTTTGTTCTTTATAAAATATCTATATATACAAGAGTATAACAGTTCTTGTCAAATCAGATGTCTAAATAGTAGACGTTTAATTAAATCGATACGATTACACGTGTTGTATATTATCCGATTGGAAAGACAGTTTCTTTACAATTTGAAAATAATATATTTTATAAACATGTTGCATCCTGTGAGCCACGCGAGTATGTAAGAGTCTAATGGAAAGATGTATGGAAAATGCGTGACAAGAATCCATGGCCTATACAGACAGATCTGTTTAGCTTCCGGTGTTTATCGTATCCTAACGAGCTTTGTAGTACTCAGCCTTACAGATAAGGACAGCTCGTGAATGATGCACCTCCCTTTCCTCTCCACACGTTACCTTTTATGGATGTTTTACGATATACGTTCACAAGTGTACGCGTGCTGGGCGTCAAATGAATGAATTTCCATGTGGTACTACGTAATCGTATATTCTAAGTATTCAAATGAAAGAATAAAATGATTTCCTCTTTGTATAAAATTAACGACTTGGTAAGGAAAAAAAAAGAAATAAAAATAAAAAAGAAAGAAAGACAAAAAGATAGAAAAATAAAGATAAAAATTTTTTTTTCAATTATCACCAACGATAAGACGAACGATTCAATGTAAAATCGTGTTTATATTTGAGCCAATTACCGAATGAAATAGAATTTAATTAAATAAACTCTTCGAACCTTTTTCCTTTAAATTTACCAATTCCATTTCCTCTTATTGTTATATCTTTTTCTTTTTGTTTTCCTGTTTTGATAATCAACGTCTATGGTGCAATAATGATAGGACGACAACGACGACGAAGACGACGAAGACGACGACGACGACGACAACAATAACTCGTATGAAAGTATGAATACATTGCAGTCCTATGCAAATGAAACTATGTTGCACATACCGAGACATCGATCGCGATCGGGTAACGGTTTACCTGCATGCAATACGAACATAGTGGAGTATCGATCAGTTCCCTTTCATAAAGTACGCATTACGTGCTTGGAAAACCGTTCGTTGTATAAACTACTAACGTATAATACGATACGATCCATTCTTAATACAATTGTAAATACAAGCAAGATGGAAATGAATCAACTTGACTGGATGAAGCCAAATGTCTGATTTCCGCTTTGAACATGTGTACAGGAATTAAACGTGTTCGATTTTTTAATGTTTATATCCTATGTAATCAGAGCATAAATATTTTTATAATTAATTATATTATAGAATCATAAAGTTAAGAATACGAATTTAAGAAGTTATATGTTAGTCTGGCTTTTATAATAAATGTAATAAATAAGATTGTTATTATAAGGAAATCATAATTAAATAAATAATTATGTATATACATATATCTTTACATACATATGTTAACACAATTTTTATTATAAAACAAGAACTTTTTTTATTATAAAACAATAACAATTTTTATTATAAAACAAGAACTACCAAAAATTATTTCGATGTATACATATTTAGAAAAAATCAATTGAAACCAATCATTTTTATTGCTAAATATACAGATTAATAAAAAATAATAAACGTTTAATAATGAATGAGTTGGTTAATAATGAATTTCTTTTCGTACTAGATGAGTATATATATATATATATCAAAACCATCATTAATATCAAATAACCTGTTTAAGTTCGAAATTTGCTCGATCAAAAAACCAAACAAGATTGATGTTACACTATAATTATAAAACTCATGTCAATGTTATTGGCATTATTTCAGAATCATTTCTGTTTCGTAAGAGAATAAGCACACACCATTCCGTATTTCACTGAAGGCCATTTTTCTCTTTTTCTTGCACCCTCTTCTCTCTGTCGATGGCAGATGCTCTGCCATAATAGTTTCTATTTTTGGTTGTTAGAAGGGTCGGTCCGTCCGTCCGTTCGAATCTACGATCATCTTGCATGGATGCAGATGTTTCTTTTAGGGCAACCCTCGAAGCCGAAGAGAAATAGTTGGAGTGGGAAAAATATCAGACCTGAAGACGATAGTAAAACGAAGGGTACGAGCTCACATTGCGGATAGATAAACAGTCACGTAGAAGCGAATGAAGGAGAAGAGACAAGAAGGTAGCGGGAGAGAAGAATACTGGCGGAGTGGCACGACTTTTGTCATTCGAACTTAAGCCTCTTCATTCACCCTTGAAACGGTCCTTGGATCACGAGACTTTTCCTCCTCAATGTCTCTCGACTCTTTTTATAAGAAGTATAAGACATATACAATAAATTGCCAATTATTCGGATTTTAAAAATGATGAATCATAAATTTTGCAAATTATTAATTATAAATTAAAAAAAAAAAGAATTAATCGTTTATATCGTCATGTAACTTTTAAAAGCAATAAATAGTAATTTATTATTATAAAATGTTATAAATTATATTATAAACTTGTGAATTCTTAAGAATTATAGTAACAAATTGCTGGCTGTTAGGCTGCATGTTGTAAAGGCCGAATACATAAAGTTAGGTCGAACTACTTACAAAAACCAATTTCATTTATTTAGATCGGTAATTTCAGAAACATAAAAGTTCATCTTTCGTTTACAACAGTATTATATCATATTATATTATATTATATTGTAAAATAAATTGTATTATACTATAGCACAATTTATATGATAAAATATAGATTTCATAAATATAAGTATTAAATACAATGTAGTTGCTATGTATTACTAATAAAAATGAAAATAAAAATGATTAACATAAAAGAAATCCAATGTGTTTTTCATTAAATTCTATCATCATTCTTCTTATCCAAAAAATTAACTTATTTATTTCAAAATCAAAATTTTCTCCAGCAAATCAAATTTCGTATAAGGATCACATGAAATGGGAGGTACCATATTTTAGGTGCCATTTAAAATTTTAAACAGGAAAGAATAACTTACCAGGAAGTGGAGCAATCTCTTCGCACATTATGCGATCCTGATACAAACCTCGGTTTACGGGAAATATTTTCTATCTGTTTGGAATTTGAAATTTTAAACAGATTAGTATAACTTATTAGAAGGTGGACGAATTTTACGTGCCACTTCTTTGTTCGTCATGTGATCCGGATACAAATCTCGATTTGCGGGAAAAATTTTCGCTTTGTGCAGAATTTGAAGTAGGTGTGTCAATTTTTTGGATAAAATGAGAATAATAATAGGATAAAAAATAATTTTGGATTTAGAATACATTGGATTTCTTTTCATATTAAACTTTTTTATTTTCATTATATTAATAATACATAGCACATACTTAATAATTATACGAATATTTATTTTAACATATAAATTATGCTATATTATAATACATTATTTAATATAGTATAATACGACATAATACAATATAATGCAATATAATACAATATAATATTGTTATAAATAAGGGACGAACCTTTATGCTAAATTACCGATCTGAATAAACGAAATTGATTTCTTAAATAGGTCGTCCTTTGTTTACAACATGCAGGTTAATAGCCCGCATTCATATGATGATTTATATTATAAATGATACGAGATTATATTTCTTAAGAACTTATAAGTTTATAATATACTTTGAAACATTTTACAATAATAAATTATCTCATAATGTACATTGTTAAATTCGTCTAACTATAAAAGGAAAATATATAGTGCCATTAAAAAAAATGAATTTGACTTTGAAATTTCTTCTGTTACTTGATCTTCAATAAAAAAATTGTTACTATATGATCTAATCCTTCATACCGAACAAATCTGCAAAATAATTGCTTTGGTAGTCCCGCACGAGATTGTTCCCATTTTTTGATATAAATAAAGATGGTATAGATGCATACGTACTATTTTGAACATTTAAAGTCATCGAATCTTCTCGATAATACTTATTCAAAAATTATAATGCTGTGCATAGTCATGCTTAGCGATATCATCTTTGGAGCGCGCTACGTAGACAATCGCAAACACAATATATGATATATCCGTGATCACGTAATCGCACAACTATGCGATTCGTACGATAACGTCACGTAAAAGTCGGCCATACATATATATATATATATGTATATGTATGTACATATATATTCGTATCAACTCCTCCAAGGAAGAATATCAGCATTATTATCGACACGATGATACGAACGATAATGTATACATACATTAATACGTCGTGAACTAAACGTATTAAAGAGACATGGAATTTGCAACCCTATTATATGTATATATATATATATATATATATATATATATATATATATATATATATATATATATATGTATATATGTAGAACGCACACGGTTGATTAACTCGATCATGCATTTTGAACGAGTTTAAACTCTAGAAACTTCTCGTGCTAGTTCGACTGCAATTTGAAGATTAACTATTCTTGTTTCAACTTCGGTTTGATCAACGAGATACTCTTTAAATGTCATATTCTTGACAAATTAATTAAAATGATTATTATTGATTAAATTATTAATTATTGAAATAATAGAATTTGTAATTAGAGAAATAATAATAAAAAATTATTTAATTACTTAATTTTAATTAATAGAAATTAAATAAAATTTAATATGTTAATTATCATTCAAAATGTGAACGGGTTGAAATTTGCATATACATATAGCCAACGAAAAAAATATTCGGATACTTTTGAAAGTTATATAAATTTTATTTCAAATTAAATAATGTTCCACGAATTTTTGAGTAAGAACAACAAATAATCAGATTGTAGAAAATTTCTCGCAACTGTCTGACGATTCATGAACACGTTTGACTTCTCTCGCGCTCTCTTTATACTTCAATTCAGACGAATTCCAGGCCGTTGGTCGGTGCAATCGGATCGTGAGAGCTCCTTCGCGAGGCCACGATACGAACGAGAGCAGTCACGGCTCTTATTTAATTAGATGTCGACACTGAGAACGTCGCTTTATCGGAAGAAACGATGAACCGATTTCAAATAGTTAAATTTTTCCGCATAAATGTGAGATTAGTTATGGTTAAGGACGAAATTTAAATAAAAACTAAAAACGAAAAAAGAAAAAATAAATATATATATATATATATATATATATATATATATATACATTTTACATATATTTTATGTAAAGTTTTTGAATATACATAGGTATCTCTGTTTATAAATTATGTTAAATAAATATGTGTATGTATACATAATATATTCTCTAATCAAATACATATGAAATATGTTTAATATGTCAAATATATGAATATATTTTTTTTAATTATGATATATATATATATATTTGTTTTATTATTAAATTTTGTTATTTTCTTATTTAAAGCAGAATTTATATTCAAAAAAAGATCAGATGAAGAAGAGTATATAGGAGAGTCGTAGAAAATATAACCATGTAATATATAGAATATATATATATATTATATATATATATGATGCTTAGCAATTTTCTCTATAAATCATGTACAAATACATATCATAAACAGAGTACTTGGCTTAAAGTTACAAGCTCGGTGTGATATCGAATTTCCGGTTTAGCCATACTGCTTTACGCTAAAACACGAAATCTTCATACCGTTGCTGATTTATTTACCTATATGTGATGTGCGTGTATATATATATATATATATATATATATATATACACACAATTTAACTATACGGATACTTAATCGTGTATCTTATTCATATATATATATATATATATATATATATATATATATATATATATGAATATTGAGTTAAATTATTTTTCTCGAGAAATGGACAATTCATCATCTATTCGAAACATAAATTATTCTCTTGTTAATTTTCATTCCTTTTTATACATTCATGAGGATTTCTAAGCTTCTAAAAATAAACGTGATAAACGAAATGCAAAAACTATTGGTTCATTTTCGACATATGTTCCTTTCAAACGAGATACATACAAATGTATATGGAAATGATCGAAAAGCA